GAAAAAAAAATTATAAGAAAAAATGTCATAGGGGTTGATTATTTCAACCCCTTACAAAAATAGTTCAGGGTTGAAAAAATTTCAAAAAGTGTAGTTTTATTGACAGATAATGTTCACCAAGTTTGGTTTCTTTAGCTTGATGTACGTGGAAGATAAAAAAGAAAAACAATTTTTTTTTGTAATTTTAGGAGGGGCGTAACTTTTCAGGGGAGGGTTTTTTCAAAAAATTTTATACCAAAGACCCCTATTAATTTTCATCGGAGAATCGCCCCTTGAATTTTTTCGGTGTTATTTAGATACACCCTGTATATTAAATACCTAATTCATTAACAGCAACAATAAAGTAAAAATTAATGTTTAAAAAAATATACACGATGATTTCAATGTATTTGTTTATTTTATGTAATAGTAATCACAATAATAATACGCAATTAATATAATTACCACAAAATAGTAATTTTAAAGTATTTCTTAGAAATAAATATATACATGTATATAAAATAGTAAAGTTTAATTCATAATTACATATTTTCTCTTTATATTCTGTAGAAAAGAAAATCTACTGCTTTCGTAATTTCTTCGCCAGTCCTCTTCATTTCTCCATCACTATCACTACCTTTTGAGAGCTCTCTTAATCCTCAACATTTTCTTCTTTTTACTACCACCCAGTTTCTTCTTGAACGGCCTGTTTTTCCTCTGGTTATTCCTCACTTTCGCTTTTACGATTCCTTTCAAGTCTCTCCTTAACTTTGTAAAGTCGTTGTCCTCCTTGGTACTCATTTTTTCGATAAAATCAACTCCTTCTGCAAAGAATAATTTAAAATACGTTGGAAATTAACGCTTTGGAATGACTGTACCTTGCAACCGATAGTCGTCATCGGTAAAGAAGAATGGCTCCGACCAAAATGTATTTCTCGCGTTAGTTCTAGCTTGAGTTTCTAAAGGTTTTTCATTTTGTTGTGCGTCTTCCTTGTTGGGTACGTCTTCGGTTTCATTTTCGTCGTCAGAGGAGTCGTATCGAAATGGATTTTTTTCTTGCATAAATTTATTGGTACCGCTAGAGATTTGTTTCGTAGTTTCTTCCTCTTCCTTAACTTGTTCTACAAAAAATCATTAGAACGACGCTTACACAAGTATTTTATTTATTTACCTTCTTCGTCTGCTTTGCCAAACATGCTCAACAAACTAAACTCGTGTTTCTCTTTCAAGCTGTCTTTCAAATCGTCCGTGACCTTATAAAATACTTCTTTTGATACTTCCGGCACTTCTTTTTCTTCTTGCTTCTTTTCGTTTAGTACATCGGTTTCGGAATTCTCCCTTTTCCTTCTCTTTTTCTCCTTTTTCGCCTCATTCTTTAATTCGAATTTAGAATGTTCAGGTTGTGTCGGGTCGAATCGTAACATAACTTTCCTCTGACTGTCGTTACAAATATAAATAAATACAATTGTGAATTAAATAGTAGTGACAATATTACCTTCCCGATTCTGCTTTTTGTTTTGGTACCACCTTTTTTCCCAAAATTTGCTCCAAAATTTGATATTCTTTCTTCTTCTCGTCTTCTAAAGATACTTCTTCCTTGTTCTCCAAATGATCGTCGGCCTCTTTCTCGTCTCCATTTTCATCCAAAAATCTTGAGTCCAAAACGAAGCGTTTGTCATTTTTGTATCTCGTTTGAAGTTCCAATAACTAAAAAATATATATTTTTGATTATCTACTTTACAATTAAGAGGACGTTATACCTTTTGCCCCTTTTCGCCCTGAAATTGTTCTTTGATTTCAAAATTAGGTTCAAAATCATCTTCTTGGAGTTCGTCATCAAAAAGAGACTTTTTTGAATTTGTACCTGTATGATTTAACTCATCGGTATTGACATTTTCTGTCTCATCAAAAATTATTTTTTTATTAGGAACGTTATCGATCTTTGACAAGGACTGTTGTATCAAAGACTTTTGACTTTTATAAGATTTCTTCAAATTACTAAGAGACTGCAATCTTTTTAAATTTGCTTCTGATGAGTTAATTTCGGGTTTACGTTTTAATTTATCTATTCTCAATATTGGACTTTTACCTACTGATTCTATTTTCAAACCATTTTTATCAACAGTTTTACCTTTGTTGTTCTTAATAACAAAACCTACAATTTCATCTGTATCATGGGAAATCTCTTCTTCATTATTTAATTTACTTATTACATCATTCTTAGACCGTTTAGGAACTTTCTTCTCATCTTCAGTAGAAGAAGACTCACTCTGTTCCCTTTTGATCTTTTTAGATGTGTGTTTTTTCTTTTCTTCTATTTTTGAACTACTAGTCTGGTTTAGCTTTATAGTACTTTGTTGAGCTCCAGAAGAATTTAAAACATTTATAACTTTCTGAGGGTCGCCTTTTTCCTCGCGTTCCCTTTTTAAACGATCCAAGAAACTTTCTCTAGCAACTTGCAAAACAATACGTTGTCCCATACATTTTCCATTAGCGAAATCTTTAAAACCTTAAAAATAACAACTGTAATTCACACATGTTTTAAGTCTCAACTGGTACTTACATTGCTGTAAACTTCTATCGTCTATTTCAACGTTTATATACGCAAAAAATAACGAATCGTTTTTTAGTCCCAGTTCCTTGCGTTCTTTAATTTCCACCGACGTCACATTTCCATAATTTTTTGCACAATTTTTCAGTTCGTCTGGTGTAACAGTTTCTGGCAAATTACTTATAAAGATACGTTTATTTTCCAGTTTCATTTTGTGGATTAAAATTAAAATGTAGTAGACATGTGTAAATTGTTAAGGTTATATTCGTCTTCTTCTGCCAAAAACTACTTTGACATAATATTTTAATTCGTACGAATGATAATATTCCGGTGTCCCATGCATCCGAAATCCGATGTACGATATCCGAAAATATTTTAATTCCTACGAATGATATTATTATAATTCGCATGCATCCGAAATTAATCTCATAGAAATCAAGTATAGAACCATGGAATTTATTATAAGATGAAGGTGAAACATTTTCAAGTGACAACCATAAGTATAAGATTATATAATTCATTAGAAATTTAGCCAATAGCAATTACAAATTTTACGTAGTTACTATGTATTGATAAGCGATTATACTCTTGACAACGTCGTATAACCGTTTTGGTGTTTCGCCTCCTCCAACAATGTGAACTATGTCATGGTAACGATATTTTTAACATTTGTCAATAAACGTCAAAAAAAAAAATGGAACGGTTCGGTTCAAGCTCTGAATTATATAATCGTATCGAATACCACTCGAGCAAACGAAAATATTCGATTATACTAACCTCCTCACTCGCCGTATATCCTTAAAACACCACTCCAGCTACGCTGTCGTGGTGTTTCGCAGAATACGTCTCGTGACTCGGAAGTATAATCGAATATTTTCTATGCTCTTGTGATATTATAACTGAATACGTCTCGTGACTCGGAAGTATAATCGAATATTTTCTATGCTCTTGTGATATTATAACTGAAAATATACGTAGTATTATATTTTGTACATTCGACATTATAATATAACATTTATTTGACTGTAAATATATCAAATAACAATCATAGTATGTTAAAAACTTAAAAAGTGAGGTAAAAAAACAAACGATTTCCGATAAAAGTTAAAACTATTTCTACTTTTTCCGACGTCGTATGAATTTTAAAAATTTTTGATGAAAATGAGCGGTAAAAATTTGAATGTATATTAACCAATAGGAACACTTTCGGACCTTCGTATCGTCGGATTTCGGATGCATGGGCCTTAGGCACATTTTCACAAACTCTTTTTATGATTTCCACACCTACCAATATTTATATCATCGCCTAAAGATAACGGGATTTAGAAAAATTACAACAGCAGCGTTAAGACTGTTTTATACTACAACGAAATTCGCAATTTCGCAATGGGATAAAATATGACGGCTTTCTAATCTGTGAATATAACTTATAGGAGGTAGAGGTAAGGAAAATTCTCTCTTATGGAGCATTAGCCTAGCTGTAAAATTGTCCGCTTAAACGCGTAGTTCAAAAAAAAGCCAGAATAACGTTAGTGAGGAACCAGGGTAGATCTGATTGGCGATAAAAGTGATTGATGGTATGGATCAGATTGGATGAATTCCTTTCAAATGTGAGACTTCAACTTTCAACTACAGTAGCGTCACCTTAATTATACTCTATTTTAAATTTTAATTTTTTTGGGCACTTTTTACATACAACCAGAGGAGAATCCTGCTTCCTCTACCCTCCATAATCTAATTTGTTAATATTTCTATTTCTTTTGATCTTAGTTGTCATATTGTATAGTTTAAATCTCTTCACTCATTCACACTTCACTCGCGAAAAAAACCTATTGATAAAATACCATAGTGAACTGTCATTTTGAGGCAAAACATTGAAATATAAGTTGGAATTTTTAATAAATCTTTAGGCAATTGATTAATTTCGCATATTTTGAGCAATTTACTACACAATACCTCAATATTTCTATCTATACCACCACAATTAAATTAGTGCTTTTTTATTTAATAGCACAAATTGACATGTCAAAGTGCCATTTCAGGGCAAAAAAACCATTGTATCGTACTTTAAATATATGTACCCGCAACAGCATCTAGAAAATAACCAGTTATTAACTCAGGGAATACGTAACATGTTTATATTTATTTTGTTTAAACTCTGCATCTATACTGGCTTCTGATGACGAGACTCATTGTACAACAACAAAACGCATGTCATAAATTAGTACTACATATTTATGGAACAATTTTATTTAGCAAATATTTGATACTCATTATTCACCTTTAAAAAAAGTCAAGTTGCGTTATTTTCTAATTTTACAGCTAAGCAATTATCATTTCTGTGATGAAACTAATTTAATCCCAAATAAATTAAGATTGTAAAATAAGATAACCACATTACAAATCAGCCTGTAGCTGATTGCCCATCAACTGGATTTTCTCTCCAGGCTTAAACGCAGGCATCCCCAGATATGGACAAGAAGCACATCTAAATGCGTCGCCTAAATAGCAGCTGCCACAAGAGGATTTCGGATTATCAACGGTGTCAATTATTTTGCCTGTCTTCACCTCCGCTTTTAATTCTTCAGCCAATCCACACGAACAGTCTTTACAAGCCTTGCGTTTGCCCGTAGTGCCGCACACTCGGAGTGACGTAGGATCTGGTTTTTTCAAATCATCTTCATCTAACAAGTCGTCGGGATCAATGGTTTCAATATCTTCATCTAACGAATCGTCTATTTTCCAAACACCTGGCGCTCTTTTTGGTAAAACTAAAGACGCCGAAGAGCCTACTTGGAATGTCGGTTTTACTGCCCTTATGTTACCTTCTGTTACTTCAACATTCATAAAGCCATTTGTGATAAGTTCAAACTTGATACGTTCTACATTAGTCTGTTGAGAAAGGAATAATTCGCCGCCAGGTTTCAATATATTCAATAACTTTTTCAAAGTTTCCTTGTTGAATTCCTTTTCTGGCAAATTTGAAACAACTACATTTGCTGAATCATTCTGAATACTCGAGAGATTCTTTAATGTTGTAATTATGGCCTTGTCAAATTCATTCGTTTCTTTTTTAAATCCTTCTAAGTCACTTTCTGAGCACAAAACCAACAAGGAATTTGACTTTGGAAGTTGTTTTATGAAGTCCATTTTCTCCGATTTTGTGAAAATAGGGACAATGTTTAAAAATTACTTGATAATTTTTTTTAACCTATTGTACATAACCTATTACCACAGTACAATTTGTAACAACGCGACTTCTCAAACCAACAAAGCTAACGAATTACCTTTATGTGCCCGACTATTTCATGTATAACGTCACGTACTTCGATATCGATGGTCACGTAGGCTGATTAGCACGTTTTTTCCCAAATTGGATAGACAGAATCCGCCTTTATTAGACAGAATTTGCAAACTATTATAAATGTAAGCAATGCATAAACTTTGAAAATAATAATTTATGCAAGTAACTTATGTAGTTGGATTAAGTAACATAAGTAGTATTTGAATATTTATACTTGTATTGAATTTATCAATTTAAATTGGATTTTAAATCGTGAACTCATGGAATTATGTTATCCGCTCTAAGGAAAGGAATTTATATTCTATTTTGGAAAAAAATCTTACGGCTGATCACAGCTGATTAGAATAATATGAGAGGAGAGAAACGAATTTTTTTTTTAACTGGAATGCGATTAAATTTAATGATGACGTAACATCGCCTCAATGCAGCAAAAATACGTCGCCTCATCAGTCATGACTCACGAGGCGATACCTCTGCTGGCTCTCTTTGAAATTATATCCATTATCAGTGATTCATCAGTGATTCACAAATATAAATTAATTACCACCAAATGAGATAAGAACCTATAAAAACAAATCACACATCAAAAATGAAAAGTGCAAGTATGAAATCAATTTTTCAATAACTGCTTCCCGATATTAGTTTAGTACACGTTGTCAAGGTCAAAAGATGGTAAACAACTGTTTATTTTTCAGTTTAATTTGAGCAAGATGACAAATGACCAATAAATTTTAATAAGGTTATATTTAATAATTTCCTCACTCAAACACAAGTTTTTAAATGAAATTGCATAATTTAGCAGTATGGCAGAACAAGTAGATCAAAATTCTGATGAAAATATGATTATGAAAGCATGTTACGAAAATTATATTCTTATCGATGTCGGTGCAAATTTGACCAACAAGAAGTACAGCAGAGATTTGGACTCTGTAATACAGAGAGCCAAAGATTCAGGTAATGTCTTAATATTTTCACTGATAAATGTTTAATTGGATGTTTCTAGGTGTACAAAAAATTATGGTTACTGGCACTTCTGTAAAAGCGAGCAAAGAAGCTTTGAGATTGACCAGGATTTATCCTAATACGCTATATTCCACAGCAGGTAACCCCAAATAATATTGTTTTAAAATAGGCTCGAACTCCAGTGTGTATGATGAAATGGCATATCCATATGTTTACTGTGTTATCATTTATTGTAATGTGCTAAATTTAAAAGGAATTCATCCACACGATGCCAAATCATATACAGACGAAACTTGGGAGGAACTCCGACGTTTAGCCGAAAATCCGGAATGTGTAGCCATCGGCGAATGCGGATTAGACTACAACAGGAATTTTTCAGAACCAGAAGATCAAAGGATGGTTTTTAGGAAACACGTAAACAACCTGTAATAATGCTCCATTCTCTACATTTAATATCATGTATTTTAGATCGAATTAGCCATCGAACTGAACAAGCCCTTATTTGTGCATGAGAGAGATGCTCACGAAGATCTACTTCGAATTTTGGACGATTTTAAAGGGAAACTACCCCCAGTTCTAGTTCACTGTTTTACCGGAAGTTCAGAACACGCCCTTGCTTATCTCGACAAAGGGTTTTACATAGGATTAACAGGTAATAGATGGAAAGAAACATGACAGTCGGCGTAGATAAAGTTACTTGGGTTTTTTTAGGTTACTTATGTAAAGACAAGTCAGATACAGGGGTCCGGAAACTTCTGGAAGACGGTTCTGTGCCTTTAGACCGACTCGTGGTCGAAACCGATGCCCCCTTCATGTACCCTAACACTCGTGCCTCCAAATTACCTATTCACGTTAAAGACGGTCTAACAGAAAGGTGAGTACACTAGTTGTCATTTACTTTGAGTTTTTTGGGTTTTTTGGCCATAGAAAATAGTTCTTATCGGGTAATAGCGTACCTTAACACTGAAGCTAAGCCACATACCGTAATGTACCTGGATTTAACATTATTTTGGATTGTTTACAATAAACGAACAACAATATTTAAGATGGGAGTAGGTAGAATATGGTATAATTCGCGACTTTATTGTTTATTTCAAATAAAATGTGTAAAATTTCAGTTCAATTTTGTAATTTTCCGTATAAAGGAATAAAACAGTGAAAAAATATTTTATTAACAATCAATTTGATAATAAAATAATATTGGTTTTATTGTATCATAAAAATGTTCATATATCAGTAATTTTCCTTCCTTATTTTAATTTTATCAATTAACTATGTCGAAATTCTATTGTTGCGCAATTTATACATTTTTGAGTACGTTAAACAGTTTTTTAAAAGGTCGCAGATAAGGACTGATTGTTTATTGAAGTAGTCTAGTCTATTCGATTGGTTTGTTTAATTGTAAGATTTTTCATACTGCGCGAGATTTTATTATCTAAAACTTCGTGGCATATTGAAAATAAATCTTGTCATTAAAATGTAGATCATGTGTTAAAATAGCATCTTGGCATAGATTTAAAATTTTTGGTTTTGTGACATCACAAAGCACGTTCCAGGAAATTGACGCAGTATAATTTATTTTTAGAAAATTAATTTTCCTGTTGAGCGTGACCTTGATTCCAAGAATTCGTGTTTGTATATTTCTCACTAGGGTTCATTATATCTGTTTATTTAAAAAAATATCCGGGTAATACAGATAAAGGCTTTGTTTTTGTGGAAATTTTATTTTATCGTTACCTGTTATCTTATTAGTACTAATAATTTGAGCCACAGACTTTTTATTCTAGAAGTTTATTAGATGATAGTGGAATATCCAATGTCAAGTACGTGATAGAGTAAAAATAGATTTTATTGCGTGACGAGTTCCAGAGAATACAGAAATTTATTTAGACTTTAAACTAACTAGAACTTAGTGTATTTATAAATTTCTAATTTATAAATAAATTATTTAATTTTCTTGATTTTACGTCATTTTAACATTGTTTTTACTAGATTTTGAATAAAAAACAAATGCCGATACTTAGTATTTTTCAAAAATTGCGATTATTCACAAAATTGAATTTTCTTTGTAGTAATACTATTTAAATTTTAATTCAAATAAACATTCTATTTTTTAATCTTCATAATATAAATTCAAAAAAATATATACAATTTTCTGAAAAAAAGAAAATACCTGATAATATCTATCTACCACCTCTAAAAATATTTTGGGACCAACATTCGACTGTTTTTTGATTTAATGTAATAGCCTTCTACATACTTGCCTGCCAGTTACCATGATCTAGTAAGCAATTCATGGCCTACTATAATTTTTTTTAAAAACGATTTTTGGGAAAATCATTTTAGGAATTTAAGGATTAGAAATCCGGCTAGGTGGCGTTATTAGCGTATTTATATACAGATTTTTTTTAATACAAAGTTTTAAACCTTTTTGTTTCGTTTTAAAATTTTTAACAGTATTGGAAACACCTGAAGATGAAAAATTAAAAAAATACCGACGGTAGTAATTACAGTTGGTAGATAATAGTCAGGTTATGGGCTTAAAATTATGAAAATATATATACAGGGTGTTTCGCATAAGAACCGACACAGCAAAAGCATGTAGGGAAACATAAGCCAACAGAGTCACATATTTAATCGATGTAAATTACTGTGGAAAGTAAACGATGTTACAGATCGATGACTTTCCTCCATCGCTACTGTACCTTCCAACGGAACGAACCCTGCTCCTTGCCTGCCATAGTAGAAATGATCGCCGCATTCATGAAGAAGAAGCCTGAAGAGGTCGCTTTGGCGACATCCTTCAACGCCATGAAGCTGTTCGGTCTCTCGTAATCGGCGGTGGCGTATCGTTTCCTTTTAATTTTATTTATTTCCTAACCGCTCATCGAAACAATTATTCGACTGCATATCAAGCGAAAGTAACCCTTGTATATTTTTCGAGGATCCTAGGCTTAGTTAGCTAAATATTGCCATAGTTTGTAGACGAAATGTTTTTTTATATGCTTTTGGGAATATTTATTTACGAAGACAAGTATTTTTATCAAATGACGACGTACAGGATTCGTAGGTGTTGTTTGACGTTGTTTATGCTTTTAAAGACAATTATGTTTGTTGTTGAGAAAAGAAATTGTGGTCTCTAGTAAAGCTTTATTTTTTTAATTCGGGACATGATAACGAGTAGTTTTAACGATTGTGCAATCGAAAGGGTGTATATTTTTTATACATGTACGGGAAATTTCATACATTTAGATTATATATTGTTGCCTGTTTGTGATATTCCTTTAGATTTTTGTTATGAAGCAAAACGGTGCCTTATATATTGAAAATAAAATATAAAAATGAAATAAATATATATTATACAAATTAATGTTTTTTTTTCACATTTTCACCCAATTTTGCTGCTTTTGGTGTAATAAACTGCTGACTAAAAGGTAGGTACTTAAAAAATTTTGGAAAAAAAATAGGAATTAAATACTTTTAGTTCATTATTTACAACAACTACGAGAAATAAATAAAATATATTATTAGCTATGGCGACTGATGAAAACTGTTTTTTATTGTACCTACAAAAAATTTAAATTTCGTAAAAAATATTGTTTTGCCCTATCAAATTATGAAGAAAATAATAAAAAAAGTTTTCACATAGGTACAGTGTGTCCTGATAAATGAGACGACGCTTGTAAAAACAAAAAAATGTTGATTTTGAAAAATGGCCGGCTTGTGAAACAAAATATGTTGAGATTTTTTTAATGAATCCGCTAAGCCTTGGAAATAAAAAATCTGTTTATAGTAGTAAATTGCTACTTTTGTATGAGATGCCACAAAACGTTATTAAGAAAATATTCTCAGAATGAAAAACTAAGTGTTGCGCTCTCATACAGAAATGACACTTTACTGATTGGTGAAAAAAATTTCCATGGCTTGCTGGATTTTATATATTTGAAATGTTGAAATCTAGGCAGGCAAACTCAATTACAGAAGGCCATTTTCCAACATTTCTCTCAAGGTAAGTTTTAACAGTTGCGAAATTCGCTATTTTTTGTAGATTTTGTTTTTTTTGTCATACGGAATATGAAGTTTATTTGATTGTTTTCATCTCATCGCTAAAGAGATAAATTTTATTTTATTTTTTGCAATAAAATTTTGGCTGTACTCTGTACTTATATGTATGTACAACGACCCTTTACGAAATTTCAAGTTGGTGGTACTTCGATTTATATTTTCTATATTTGAAATTTTTAAAACACAAAGGTTCTCCAAAAAATCATTTTTATTATCAAAATGTGAATTTAATTCTCACAAGTCGTCACTATCTAGTGGATAGAAATACAAACAGAAATTAGTCGTGAATTTAATCAAATTCTGACGAAATATTGTAAATTGTTGTGTAAACTGTAATCATGTTAATACTAGGCAGGTATAGACTTATTGATTTTTATTTGTTTCAAGGAACAGCTAATCATACGAGTATTTTTTTTATTGTATGGATATTTATTAATAACGCTGAATTTATTAGAAGTTTCATTTTCAGCGCATATTGTTTGCAAGGGAAGATAAGCTTTAATTTCACTTTTTATTTGATAACAAATGATGGTCAAAAAAAATATTGTTCAAATGACACTTCAATTTGCATCATGTGCCTATATTCTAGAATCTAGATAGTGAACTTTTAATGAAAATTTCTCCGTTATTATCGTTACTGAAGATTAAAAAATAAATCTACAATTAAAAAAATATCAATCACTTTAGTCATGAGCTTTGAAATTGGTAGTATGGTATATAATTTTAATGGATTTCAATTACCTACCTATTACTTTTTTATTTATAATAAATATTTACCGATATTGCAATTTATATTTCATTATTATAGTTTTATTAGATATCACACATACAATAGGTATATTTTTTAAATTGAAATTTTTACGTTTATTTTCTAAATTCGGTTCTTTTTGCGTTTTCCTCGCTCAAATTAATGCTGTAGTTCCACTAAAGAGAATAGTAATGGGAAAATCTATGACGCAAAACTGGAAATTGATAACAAGAAACAGTAAAACGCAAAACATGAATCAGCTGATCGATACACAAAACAGCCAGACAAAATAATAGTGATTTACGCTGCCAACCTAACGAAGAAAAAACCGAAAATTCCCTAAACATTCTGGCTAATTTTTTGGCCATAGCAAAATAAATTTAGCTAATATAGTACCTAGATCTACTTTATATTTTCATATATTTTTCACAGCGATGTCTATATTGTATAAAATACCTCTTGATCAAATTATCTACAGAAAAATCTAGAACGTGTACTTTGGGTTCTAGATTATATTGAGGTGGGGGATGCTGATCGTATAAAAGTCAGGGCCACGTCAGCTTTTTATTACTTGCGTTGCGATCGAGCAGTAGACAGCAAACGTTACAAGCGTGATACAAAAGCTATTTGTGATTTTCTCTTACTAGTGTTTGTGATAAAATATCAGGTATGCATATGCAATATTATTTTTATTTTATCCGTTTAGTACCTAAATGGAAATAATTCGCGTTGTCGGTATCCCAAGCAACTTTTCCTTTGTTTTATATAACAAAATTTTTTATTAGTGATATTTATCGTGTATACCGTATTTTTAAGGCAGTGAGTTTCTTTTTAAATTTATAAAGACGCATTTCCTATCAAAATTCACGAAATGAATTGAGTTTTATCGCGACTTTTGCACCACAAAATGGCGGACGTTTACGACAGCTTGACTGACGTCACGATTCCTTTGTTCTAGAAAGGTTATCCGTAAATTGACAAAATTCTCGTTCTTTTTTTGCAGAATGCAGATCTTCGTGAAGACACTGACTGGTAAAACTATCACCCTCGAGGTGGAGCCGTCCGACACCATCGAGAACGTGAAGGCCAAGATCCAGGACAAAGAGGGCATCCCTCCCGATCAGCAGAGGTTGATCTTCGCCGGCAAACAGTTGGAGGACGGGCGTACCTTGTCGGACTACAACATCCAGAAGGAATCCACCTTGCACTTGGTACTCCGTCTCCGTGGTGGCATGCAGATCTTCGTGAAAACCTTGACGGGGAAAACCATCACTTTGGAAGTCGAACCATCTGACACCATCGAGAATGTCAAGGCCAAAATCCAAGACAAAGAAGGGATTCCTCCGGATCAGCAACGTCTTATTTTCGCCGGCAAGCAGCTAGAAGATGGACGCACACTTTCCGACTATAATATCCAGAAGGAATCTACTCTTCACTTGGTTCTGCGTCTACGTGGTGGTATGCAGATCTTTGTAAAAACCTTGACGGGCAAGACCATCACCTTGGAGGTCGAACCGTCCGATACTATTGAAAACGTGAAGGCCAAAATTCAAGACAAAGAAGGGATTCCCCCAGACCAGCAACGACTTATTTTTGCCGGCAAACAGCTAGAAGATGGTCGCACTCTCTCCGACTATAATATTCAGAAAGAATCGACCCTTCACTTGGTGCTCCGTCTTCGTGGTGGTATGCAGATCTTCGTAAAAACCTTGACGGGAAAGACCATCACTCTGGAAGTCGAACCATCCGATACCATTGAGAACGTCAAGGCCAAAATCCAAGACAAGGAGGGGATTCCCCCAGACCAGCAACGTCTTATTTTTGCCGGCAAGCAGCTAGAAGATGGACGCACCCTTTCTGACTACAATATCCAAAAAGAATCCACCCTTCACTTGGTTCTACGTCTCCGTGGTGGAATGCAAATCTTTGTCAAAACCTTGACGGGAAAGACCATCACCTTGGAGGTTGAACCGTCCGATACCATTGAGAACGTGAAGGCCAAAATCCAAGACAAAGAAGGGATTCCCCCAGATCAGCAACGTCTTATTTTTGCCGGCAAGCAGCTAGAAGATGGACGCACCCTTTCCGACTACAATATCCAAAAAGAATCCACCCTTCACTTGGTTCTGCGTCTCCGTGGTGGCATGCAGATCTTCGTGAAAACCCTGACCGGCAAGACCATCACTTTGGAAGTCGAACCATCTGACACCATCGAAAATGTGAAAGCGAAAATCCAAGACAAGGAGGGGATTCCCCCAGATCAGCAGAGGTTGATCTTTGCCGGCAAGCAGCTGGAAGACGGTCGTACCCTTTCCGACTATAACATTCAGAAGGAGTCGACGCTCCATCTAGTGCTTCGACTCCGTGGAGGGCAGCAATAGGCTTATTTATTACACATACGATGTTTACTTCAAACTATAAATGTATTCTTCACATTTTATTTAAAAGGCTGAATTTTTTTATATTTTTAAGTTTCAGAGTAAAAATTTGAGTAATAAAGGAAAGGTTTAGTTAAGTTTGGATTTTTATTTGTACCATTTACCCAGTATAAAGCTGAATTCCAAAAGTTCAAGTAGAAATAAAGAAAAATTTCAAGTGAAGAAAATGGAAATTTCCTAAATTTTTTAGTGTTTTATTTCAATAATTAAAACTGGGCGATATAGATAAACTTACATTAGTTCAATTGTAGATAATAAAGTTGTGTTAAAGTTGAAATTTTGAAATCAAAATTCTTAAAATTCTTCGAAAGTTACATGAAGAAACTAAATAAATTGAAAACTTAAAATTTTGACGTGGAACAAATACAGGGTGAGTCATTATTAATGTTACACAGCTTGATGGCATATTAACGTCAAAATATAGTAACTGAGCCAAACATGCCTTAATCAATTGTTGCTCATTTTCGTTCTACAGGGTGTTAAAGTTGAAAAAGTTTCCTTTTTTATCTATATTTTAAGTATGTATGGACCGATTGTTTTGAATATTTGTAGTTTTACGTTTTTTGAGGAGGTAAATACGAATATGCAAGCAGTGTTGGGGTAACGTCTAGAGGACGCTAGTTATACTATCTATGTAAAAATCTTTTTGTATTTTACAATTTTGAATTAACTACAAATTATTGACCTACGTTCAATTCTAAATAAAAATGGTGTACTAGTTACAAATCGATAAAGTAAACCGTTTTTGAGATTCGGCGGGATTAAATTAGAAAATTGGCAGATCTTAAGATACCAAGCCTGAATTAAGACAAACATTACAGCAATTGAAGATTTTATTATGCATATCTTAACAAATTATTACCGGCAACTTCGATGCACTTTCTTAGCCTTTTATTAAGATATTCTCTTCTCTAAAAAATAACGACAAGGAAAAAACTACTTAATCAATTTCAGTAGAAAACAATGTGGTATTGTAGTGACAGCTGTCAATTTATTATGTCCATGCCTACTACTTTGGAAAAAATAATTTTCTAATTTAATTCCCATCGAATCTCAAAAACTTAAAATGTCTGTATCTCGAAAACAATTTAGTTTATCGATTTGTAACAAGTATACATTTTTTATTTAGAATTGAACGTAGTTCAACAATTTCTAGTTATAAAAAATTCAAAATTGTAAAATATAAAAAGTTAGATATATTTTTACATACATAGACAGTACAACTAGCGCCACCTAGACGTGACCCCAACACTGTTTGCATATTCGTATTTGCCACCTCAAAAAACGTGAACTACAAATTTTCAAAACAATCGGTCCATACATAATTAAAATATAGATAAAAAACAAAATATTTTTTCAACTATAACATCCTGTAGAATGAAAATGAGCAACAATTGATTAAGGCATGTTTGGCTCAATTGCTATATTTTGACGTTAACAATCTGCCATTAAGTTGTGTACCATTATTAATGACACCCTGTATATCAATTGTGTAAAATAGGAGAATACTATTTTTCTATTAAAACTTTTATACACACACAGAAAAAAGTTATGACTAATTTTTATCAACCAAGAGTACATATTGTAGCGACCTCTAGCGTCTACAGCACAGTTAGGTCCGAATTCGTTTTTCTGGATTCAGAAAACTCCCAAATCCAAATTTTCAAAGTAATTCTTTGAAAACTACTACAAATTTTAAGAATTTTGTATTCAAAATTTCAACTTTAACATTGCAACTTTTTTATTATCCACAAATGGACTAAAGTTTAGATATATCGCACTATTTTGATGTAAAGAAACTAAAAGCCACTACTTCGATGTAAGGAAACTAAAAACATTTTGCTACAGTAGGTAGATTATTTTAAAATTGCAAAAAGATTGTATATTGTATTTAAGAAAGCACTTAAATTAAAAGTGAAAAAGTGAAACTGTCAAAAATTAATAGAAATATTTTCTATAAGTGTGCCGATAATTCCACAAGTAGTTTTGTTTTGCATATTTTGGTCAATAGCCAGTAAATTTTTCTTTTATTTCGTGTTTTATCCAAAATTAGTCTAATTAACGCTATTTTTAATTGCACCAACTATTTTGATGTTAATTTAAGATAAAAACAAATATAAAATAATTTAAATTAAACAATCATGTAATATTATTTCTCATTGTGAAAAAGACGAAAGATTTACATCTACAGTTTATTTATCTTACATCTAACATATTTAAAGCCCAATATGGGAAAATAAGGAAAATGGATATAACATTTCATTCTTCATGATCTTGAAATAAATAAAATACAGCAATGGCAAAATATACATCTACATTACTTGTAGTAATCGCAAAAGATTATGCTGATGATGTCTCTCCACTAAATGCACTCTTAACAATTTCTTCATTGTATCTTTTTGCTCTCACTTTTTTAAAGGTATGTTCTTTGGTCATATGCTTTTTGGATGCCATTTTCTCGAATTGTTTATCGATAAGTTCCGTGGCGGAAGTTTTTTTCGGAAGATGTACATATCTAACATTCCTCTGGCTTATAAAAAAATTAGGAAATACACGTTCAGTACCTAAAATAAAACGGAAATTAAACATTCAAAGTGAGTTGACAATAACAAAAAGTGTTGTTTACCCCTTGCATCGTAGAATACTACATCTTCCATTTCTATATTCATATGTCCATCGATAAAAGTTATTTTTCCTGTTACACAACTTTCATTTCGTAAATCTATTGTAGTATACTGGCCTTCTAAAGCTTTTACAAGACCAGCCAAACTATTGTAAAAGAAGAACTTATCTTCTTTAGTCAGTGTTTTCTTCTTTACTATTACTTCATCGGTATTTTCAGCCATTTTCAATGTATAGTCTGAAATTTTAGATACTTATTTATTTAATAATAAGTTATATATTAATTTTGGAATGGGAATATTTCTGTAGTATTCCAAAATTAATGTAAACAATAATCATTTCTCTTCATCTTCTTCGTATGTATTAACTCTTTTATCTATGGTATGTACCAAGTGTGTGCATCTGAACTACCACGAGATGTATGAGAATGTTAAGGTAAGCGCAGAACACAGATCTACTCCCGTTGAACTCGTCGTAAAATTGTGTGTTAACCAAATTTGCATGATCATAAAATAGGATTTGGCCAATAAAAATCAATAATTGTTACATAAATTACAACAATCAAACAGATAATAACTTTGAATAGACTAGATGGCAATAAAATAACTTAAGAACGCAAGTTTAGATTTGAACATCTTTATTTAACTGTACAAATGTGAAAACGCGATTGGAAACGGAACAATACGAACTTTTCGGGTACTTTTTTTGTAATCTGCTCCAAGTAGTTGTGTTTACATAAGTGACGACATTGTTTTTATTGATAAATTTTATGTAAATTTCGTGATAATTTATCATCCGTTTGTTTTGAATTCAATCAATTAAAGCTATGAATTTTAAATTTTAGTACTCATTAAATTCGTTAAAACATTTATATCAATATTAATTAGCTGTTCAAAAACAATAAAAATTAAGAACCGTGTCATAACGGAAACAAAATTACCCGTTCAATTAAATTATTTCGTTTATCAAATGAATTCAATTACTGTATATGGCCCGAAATATAACGCTAACCAGGTTATTTTTCGTTTAGACCTAATAACTTTGGACGCCTTTTCCTGATGTAAAGGCCTGAAGGAAGAGATGTTAACACCTTTGCGATGTCGACTGATGGTAAACCAACAATAATTTAATTTCTTTCGCGATTTCTCCCACGAACTGTACTGGTTTTGGCTCTCCAAGTTTATATTACTTAATTCGTATACTAATAACAACTTACAGAAGTAAAGCAAACAATAAAACTCGTGTACTGTGTATATTTACGAATTTTCAAATCAATAAATTTGCTGTACTCCACTGGGCATGTGCAGGGTTGCATCCCCAATCCTGCTACACCCCTAATATGTGGGTAGATCAATGGATTCCTTGATCAATATGAAGAAATAATTGTGTGCACATTACAATAAACTCAAATATAGTCTAATATGAACTTAATAAAAATAGTGTAGTATATTTACAACAAATTTCAAGAGGGGTTTAATGTATGGGAAGTAGAAAGTCAATATATTAAATGTGATAATTTGTGATTGCTTGGGTAGCAGATGGTGATGGGTCTAATACTTGTTTACTATTATTATTACTAGTCTTGAAAGTCTAAAAATGCAAACTTTAAGAAAGAAAACTAGCCCCCTAAAATGTGAGTAAAATGCTTGCTTTGTTGTCGCTTGAAGCTCGTATTCACATATTTTTGTATGTACGGTATCCTCTGGATTTTATACCGAAAAGATCTGAAACGCTTTGTTGTAGATAAGAACGAAACCACTCGCTTTCTGGGAGATGGGGTGAGCTTTAAGGCGAAGCTGATAGGAATCCTAGAGGTGTCGGAAGCAAGGGGCGACAGAATGTGCCAAGAAGCCCTCTCGGACCTGAAGATGGCCATCAGGGCTGCGGGAGAGCATAAACAAAGGATAACGATCAATATCGCCATCGACGGTTTACGTTTGAGAGATGAAAAAACTGGAGTGAGTTACTTTATCTTAGATAGTATATTTCAATGCGTAAAAATTTGTGTTGAATTTAAATCAAATTAAAGACGAAGTAAATTCTTATAATTGCCCGTTATACTTTTTACAGAGCGTGGTTTCTAGCATTGTAATTACTTTAAATAAGATTATGCGGTAGTTATTTATGCACTAACAGGTGCTCTTTTATAGGATTCTCTTTATCATCATCCTGTCCACAAAATATCCTTTATAGCGCAAGACATGACGGACTCCAGGGCCTTCGGGTATATTTTTGGTTCTCCGGATACGGGTCATCGTTTTTTTGGGATTAAAACTGACAAAGCCGCTAGCCAGGTGAAACAGTCGGTGGAAATTATGGCGAAAAAAATGTCTGTAAAGTGTGTTTTAGGTCGTTATAGCTATGAGAGACCTTTTCCAAGTCGTTTTTGCTTTGAAAAAGAAGGAAATAGAACTTGCCAAACAACACCTGGAAAAGACTTGCTATCCCACGTCTCCGTTGTTTTCAGATAGTTCTAGCTCTAGTTCTAAAGTAAGTTCGTACCTACTAATATTTAAAAATCAATTGATATTTTTAAGGACAATTGTAATTTTCATGTTATAAGAATTTAATATTTAAACGTTTTGAAATAATACTATTTTTTGAATCGTACAGGGTGTAACTTTAAGCGGGGATCAGTTTTTTAGGAGAAATGGTATGTGTCGCTCAGAATACTAATCTGATATAATTTTCTCTAAAATCAAATACGTTTATTTGGTTTAAATGATATTAACTAAAATTGGTATAAACCAATTTAAATACTTTTCAAAATCTTTTCAAACTAATTACTAATTTTTTAAAGCACTGTGTTTAGTTTGTGAATCGCTGTGTCAATGACATTAGCCTAATTGTGGTGAACTATGTAATAACAATCCACCTGATGTGATATGACAACAGGGCATTACAGCCAATGTTAATTCGACTAAACGAGAAAGGCCTAATTTGGCTCTGCTTTATTTTGTTACATTTATTTCAGTTTTTAGTTTATCGAGAAGGTGTTTTTGAAGTGTTTTGAACTTTATAAAGTTATTTATTCCAGTCTTCAGCGATATTGCGGTGTGTTTGTCTGTCTTCATTGTTAAATTTCTGTAAAATATTATGAAAAAACATGTATATGAATTACGAAACATGAGAATTGACAATAATTCATGCAGTAGCATTTTCATATAAGTATGACCCTATTCACAGTTACACCCTGTGTAATTGTATACATGTTGTGTATATAATAGAATTAGTTACAGAGCGTCCCCCACGTATCTATAAAATCGGCAGCGGAGAATAAAACGGGTGGGGCTGCTAGCGACCCGAAGAACTCTGGCACTGCCGTTGCGGATCTGGTTGATTTAGAATTGGAACTGAATAGTTTGCAGCAGGGTCTTAATCAGATGGAGAGGATAACGCCTTCAGATCCGTTTGGCTCGAAGGACGATCCTTTTGGCGATAGTTTTATTAGTTATCCCAGCGTAAGTAATTCGATAAAACAAGGGCTTTATGAATAATAAATAATAGTATGTCGTCCCCTCTCCTGCACAAATTTTCGAATTTGTAGCTAATCCATGCGATTAGGAGGAAGTGTGGATATTATGTTTATTTCTTGAAAAAGGCTGATAATGCGGATAATCATTTTTGTCAAAACAGTTGCAGTTTTGTGTTTTATAGGTGGGTTTTTGAACACTAAAATTTAATTTCAATCGCTAGTAACTAAATTTTTTTAATTACCAGGGGAATAAAGTAAATATAAAATAAAGAAAGAACATTAAACAATTAACTATTTATTTAGACCAGGGCGGATCTGTCGAAAAGTGTAGGCCCCTAGACCTGGGTGAGGTCCGGAACATTTTCAAAATTACAAAAATGTTTAAAAAATTTAAAAGAAATTCCTATTTTATCCGAGTTTTTTACTTATATCTTGGAACCTATGCATTTTGGAAGAATATTGAAGAGGAAAAAAGTTTTAGAACTGAATTTTGCACAATATACTGGTTTAAATTCATTACCGATGTTGCAAAATAGCAATAATTGATGATAAAAAGGCTAAATAAGTTTTTTGGATATATTTTTTTAAATATTGTAATTGCTTCGAGGGCATTCTAATTTTGGTAAAAAAAAAACTTTAGAGTATAATAAAACAACACACCAAATTTCATTAAAATCAGTTTGATAGTTTTCGCAAAATAATTTTTTTTAAAAAATTTTTCAAATTTTCAAAATGTTGCACAGCCTCAAATAAAGCATCTAGACGCTTGAAAATTTTTTCACATAGAAAAGACCGCTCAATCTTCATATGGTTTTTGAAAAATTGAAATCTGTTGATTAGGACGGCCACAGTATTTTTTTTTTATTTTTAAACAGATTACATTTATCAATTTGCAATTTAGTTTTTTTCAAAAATTATAATTTGAAAGTACTCGGAAAAGACACTTCTTTAAAAAAAAAAGTTAAATTCCGTTTATTGGTTCTCGAGATATAAACGGTCAAAGTTTATCGGCATTTACTGTTAATTTATAAACAATTTAGCAATAATCTTTGATCCAGTGGCTTCGTTTTTCCGAGTTCTAAGCTGGAAGCAATTTTCATATCCATAAGTTTCGGCAACATAGATAAATCAGGGGAAAAGCTGTTGCTCGCACACGTGAAAAGTGACTCAAAACACGAAAAGTGGCGGAGCGGGCTTTCGCTCTGAGACTGAATTCGGTTCAAAATGCAAAAGTATGAAAAAAATTGCATTATCTCGGCTTCTAATGAACCAATTTTGATCTTTTTTTTTAATCTAATGTCTAGCAAGCCAAGTAATTTTAATATCCTAATGCCAACTGTTTAATTTGCACATATTTTGTTATAAACAAAGTTTATTATTTATGCATTAAATATACTGTATATTTTACCCAATACTCGTACTATTGCATTTTTTCAATGAAAAAATTTGTTTACGTATATATTTCAACAATCTGAATATGAATGTATATAGTTATAATTATTACAATTATTAATTGTATAATTTTTGTTTAAACAAATTAAAAAAAAAATTTCTTATTGGGAAATTATTTTTTTTGTGAAATACAGATAAAATTAATAAAAAATAGTACTTTCAAATTATAAATTTTGAAAAAAAACTAAATTGCAAATTGATAAATGTAATCTAATTATTTAAAAATAAAAAAAGTGTTAATTTTAAAAATTTACTGTGGCTGTCCTAATCAAACAATTTCAATTTTTCAAAAACCATTTGAAAGGTTGAGCAGTCTTTTCTATGTGAAAAAATTTTCAAGTATCTAGATGCTTTATTCGAAGCTGTGCAACATTTTGAAAATTCAAAAATTTTTTTTCAAATTTAAAAAAAAAAATATTTTGCAAAAACTATAGAACCGATTTTAATGAAATTTGGTGTGTTGTTTTATTATACTCTAAAATTTTTTGCCAAAATTAGAATGCCCTCGGAGCAATTAAAATATTTAAAAAAAATATCCAAAAAAAACTCGATTATTTTGCCTCTTTTTCATCAATTATTGCTATTTTGCAACATCGGTAATAAATTTAAACATTTTTAACTGATTGTATATTGTGCAAAATTCAATTCTAAAACTTTTTTCTTCAATATTCTTCCAAAATGCATAGCTTCCAAGATATAAGTAAAAAACTGATAAAAATAGGTATTTTTAAACATTTTTGCAATTTTGAAAATGTTTCGGATCTCGCCCAGATCTAGGGATTTACACTTTTATTATGTGAGTTGTATTGAAGGTTTTCCATAAAAAAATTGAAAAAAGGTATCTTGCAAAATGGGATGGATAAGTTCCAACTACTTTGGAATTTTAAAACTTAACAAATGAATAGTGTGTATTTTTACAGATTGTCCCGAAATTAATGGGACACAGAGTAAGGGTAGATTCTTTTCATCAAAATAGTGCGATGTACATTAGTCCATTTGTGGATAATAAAAAAGTTAATGTGTTAAAGTTAAAATTTTGAATTCAAAATTTTTAAAATTTGTAGAAACTTGCTCTGTGTCTCATTAATTTCGGAACACCCTGTAGATTTAATGTTCCTGTTCCTTAAAATGAAACCATACTTTTTTGCAGCCTTATCTATTTTACTTAAATATGTGTTCCCGAAAAGTTAACTTTTTGTAATTTGTTTTTTGGTATTATGAACGTGAAAATATCTAATTTCGTATTTGATACAGTCTTGTCCGGATTGAAAATCAACCCTTGGTATCCCTAAAGAGGTGAAATCATCCCCTAAATGCCTAAAAATGCTAAAAATATATTAAGTTACAATTTTTTTTCTTTTTCTTTTATACGATAATTGAATCGTAAATAACCCACAATCATTAGATCCGAAGGAAAATACCCCTAAATGAGGGTAAAACCACCCCTATTTTTAACCATATACGTATAAAAGAAAAAGAAAAAAAATTGTTAACTTTTAATATATTTTTTTGCATTTTTAGGTGTTTAGGGGATGATTTCACCCCTTTAGAGGTATTAAGGGTTGATTTTCAATCCGGACAAGACCGTATCAAATACGAAATTAGATATTTTCACGTTCATAATAATATTTTGATAACATACAAATATTTGGGGTTTTACAACTGTTGATGATTCTTAATTTGTTCACTTTTTTGTCTTTTCTACCCCTAAATAAGGTAAAACTGAAAGTGATGCTCGTTTTCATTTTTCATGACGAGTATTTGGAGATTTTTAGAATATTTTTAGGATTTTTCCCTGTCGCCTCTGTGAAAGTCTCAAAAACAGGTGGAAAAATGGCCTTTTTTGCGGTCACTCTTTGCAATACAATGTACCGTTTTGTTTGTAGAAGCCCATTTTGCCGCCCCCGCCGTCCTCGGGACGCGAGCGGTCCAGTCGTACGTCCGACTCGAGCAGCCTGTTCAGTCCTAAAACGCCACACACGGCCTCCAGCGCGGACCACGATAAAAAGAAAGACTTCTCCTTCTCCCACGAATTTAACAGCTCTCACGAGGAACCCAGCAGCGGGGACTGGTTCACCCCCCTGGAGGGCAACAGCATATTCGAGGAGTCTCCCCTGCCTATTCAGGAGCCCACGAAGGACGAGAAGCACGAACAGACCAAACAGGAGATCCTGTCACAGTTTGACGTTTTCACCGAACTGGATCCTTTGGGTAAGCGACATCCAGTCTGTTGTTTTGTGTGCTTCCGACATTTTCATATCGATTTGTCCCTGTGTTTCTTCGGTTTTTCTCCCTAGAGTTTTATGTGGTGCATTTCGATTAAAAGTGTGTGTTTTTATTTCCACAAGATCGGTTGATGTAAAATAAATTCGTACGGGGTGTTCCGGTGTTTCGTGTATGTATTCTTGGGATCGAAATGAAACGATATAACTGAATGTTGAAAGTTTTCGAAACGAAAAAAATTAGTTTTGGCCAAGTAACTATACAGGGTGTTCCTAAATAAGTGTCGCAACGGAAAACTGTAAATTTTTCTTGCAAAAAAAACATTAATTTCCTCTTCCATTTTTCTCTCCGGGCTTTCGTTTTCGAGTACAAAACTTATTTTTTTTTAGTTTTTTGCCAATATCTTGGGAACTGTTTGAACTACAGGACTGAGCTTTTGTACACACATTGCCACTATTAATAGCTACTCTTTCGCACCTTTCTCGAATTCATTGGACGTGCCAGTGGTGGAGATTTTAAGATATCGTAATGTTAAATTTTGTTAAAAATGTTAATCATATTTTCCAAACGTTAGTAAAATGTTTGTTTTTGTTCATATAAAGTCATTTTTCTTGAAACGGTTGATTTTAGAGCAATGAACCAAGAGACCTCTTTTTGTGTAAAATTCATAGGCGCTTCAGAAATTGCTGTCAAATGTCAATTTTTCCAGTGGCGTAAAAGCTAGGGGGGGAAAAACCCTTACGATACCTTCAAATCTCCACCAATGGCAGGGTTCTTAATTATTGGCAAAAATCTAAAAAAAAAATTAAAGTTTTTACACCGTGTATCTCGAAAACGAAAGCTCAGAGAGAGAAAAATGGAAGATGAAAAATATGTTTTATTTTGCAAGAAGAATTTACAGTTTTCCGTTGCGATACTTATTTAGTAACACCCTGTGTTTTTTATGGATGAACTTACAACTAATTCTTGTTTTATCACAATAGACCAGGGCAAAATACCAATAATTGACAAAAAAAGGCAAAAAAATCAAGTTTTTTGGGTAATTTTTTTAAAATGGTCTAATTGCTCCGAGGGCATTCTAATTTTGGTAAAAAAATCTTTATAATACAGTAAAACAACACACCAAATGTTATTAAAATTGGTTTGATAGTTTTCGCAAAATAATTTTTTGAAAAAAATTTTCCAATTTTAAAAATTTTGCACAGCCTCAAATAAAGAATCTAGTTACTTGAAAATTTTTTCACATAGAAAAAACCGCTCAACCTTTCAAATGGTTTTCGAAAAATTGAAATCGGTTGATTAGGACAGCTACAATAAATTTTTAAAAGTTATCGGCAACATACTCGTAGATAAATCAGCGGAAAAGCTATCGCTCGCACTCGCAGAAAGCGACTCAAGACGAAACGTGGGGGAGGAGGGCTTTCCGAGTACTTTAAAATTATAATTTTTGAAAAAAACTAAATTGCAAATTAAATAAATGTATTCTAACTGTTTAAAAATAAAAAAAAAGTGTTAACGTTAAAAATTTAACCGATTTCAATTTTTCAAAAACCATTTGAAAGGTTGAGCGAACTTTTCTAAGTGAAAAAATTTTCAAGTATCTAGATGCTTTATTTGAGGTAGTGCAAAGTTTTGAAAATACGCAAATTTTCAAAAAATTATGTGAAATTATCAAACTGATTTTAATGAAATTTGGTGTGTTGTTTTATTATCCTCTAAAGTTTTTTTTACCAAAATTAGAATGCTCCCGAGCAATTAAAACATTTTTAAAAAATTATTTAAAAAACTTGATATTTTTGCCTTTTTTCATCAAGTATTGCTATTCTGTAGCTCGGTAATAAATTTAATCATTTTTAACTTTCAGTATAATGTGCAAAATTCAATTCTAAAACTTTTCTCCTCTTCAATATTCTTCCAAAATGCATAGGTTCCAAGATATAAGTAAAAAACTTACACAAAATAGGTGTTTTTTTAAATATTTTAAACATTTTTGCAATTTTGAAAATATTCTGGACCTCGCCTAGATCTACATTTTTATTATGTGAGTTGTACTGGTACTTCCAGCAAAAATGAGCTTGCCCCCTCTTACATTCAAGAAGTGGGATATTTCTGATACTTTCTGTCTTGTAAATTTTTTTTTATTACTTTTTGATTTTGTGTAATTAATTACGTTCTTAACCTTCACTAAAGCATTTTTTATAGAAATTTGATTTAATTACCATCAAAAACTTTATTTGTTTGATAATAAAAATGTAACTGTAGAGGTCAAAAACTCGTACTCAATTATTTCATGAAAACTATTGGAAATGATCACCATTTTCAGTAATATAATTAATTTAACAATACAGAGAAAAGAAAAAAAATAATAAATCGCTTCAACTTCAGATTCAAATCTCTAGTCACAATTTCCAAAATGGAAGAAATCTGATGTATTTTTATCTCCGAGATAAAATAAGTAACTTGCAATAAAGTACAATATAAAAGTTTGATTAAATCGTCTTAATTTGATCTCAAGAGTCTTGACTTGTACACATATACAGGGTGTTCCACTGAAAACTTCCCACCTGGAAAATATCAGAATATTCAAATTGGTTTCTCTCCACTTCCATACCATAATAAAATCTTTGCTCCACTTCCCAACGAATATTTCGAAGCATTCCGGACGTTATCTGTCGACTTATTAGCCGACAAAACTCCTCAAGTGAGTTCGGTCGTTTTGCAGAAATTTTCGACTTGTATGTGTCCCCATAGAAAAAAGTCTAAGGGTGTTAGATCTGGCGATCTGGGAGGCCACTCAATTGAACCTCTGCGTCCGATCCAGTGATCTGGTAGCACCAACCATTTTGAAATGACACGTCCTCTTCCAAGACACCAAAACTTATGCCATCACGTGTCCCCCTTGAAAAGAAAATCGACACGTCTGATTTTTGTGTTTTATTCATAATTCTGATATTTTCCAGGTGGGAAGTTTTAATTGGAACACCTTTGGTCACTCTGAATATCTTACAGTTTATGACATAAAATATTTGCAACAAATTATGTGCAAATGTATTATTATACTTGAATCGAAATTACTTAATTTGCAAATATAAATGAAATACCAAGCATTTAATTACAATCCTAAACAATTGAGGTTTTTTTTGTGATTTTTAGGGAAGTTTAGCTCATTTTGAGAAGGCTTTTTATAGGTACACTGAGCACTCGAACTTAGAAATTTGCATTTCTCCGTTACGAAATCATAAATCACGAACTGCAAATTCATCTGCAAGCAGCTTGGGTTGTTGCAAAGTATCTCATGATTCTCCTCACTCACGAAATACTCTATCTGTGGTAAAATAAAATAACAGTTTAGACTTTTTTTTAGTTCGTTTTCTTTTGGTTTCATTTTAGTTCAGTTCAATTAACTACGTTTGAAAAACTATTTTATTTTACCGTAGGTACTGGTAGAAGTAAGCCATATATTGATCGCAAACATTTCTTTCAAGAACTCAAAAACCCACCCAAAAAAGTCCTCAATGATTTGGTTGCTCAAACGACACAAGAACAGCCACTGTTCAACCCCAATTTCAGTCAGGTCACCCCGAGACCGGCCGCGCCGGCTGGGGGCGCAACCGTGTTTACCGCAGATCCGTTCGGGGAAGACCCATTCGTTAAGGAAGACCCATTCGCGGACTCTGACTTCTCGAGACAGGATCCGTTCGAAACGGAGTTTGCAAACTTCTCTACCACTCAAAACAACTTTGACAAGTTGAAATTGGACGCTAACAAAGACAACCTCCACTCGCTATTGCAGAGTAACTTGTCGAAATCACCGAAGAGTTCTATGCTAGAGAAACAAATGTCGCTCGCAGCTCCATCGCCAAAAACCGTACAGTTTAACAAGCAGAACACGTTCGATATTCCGTTCGATAAGTTTGACGAGAAAAAGTTCAGTACGCTGTCTCAGTCCCGTGATAATCCGAGCCTGGATATTTCCTCGGAGAGCGAATGTGCCCCCGAGCCTCCGCCTCGACCCGCTGCGACTTTAATGCAGATTAAACCCCCGCCTTTACCCCCTAAGAAGCAGGTCAACGAACTTACAGTGAAACCGCCGCCTCGTCCGCCGTACCACACTGAGGAATCCCCGTACGATTACATGGAGAAGTACGAAACGGCGCCCAACAGTATGGAGTATATTAAGAACTTAGAAAGGAGCCCTCCCTTGCCGGTACCCGCGAGAAAGTCAAAGTTTGAGTCGGATTTTACGTCAGCACCTGAGAGACCTAAAAAACAGTTCAATATACATTCCGCCGAAGACGATTACTTGACGCCGATATCGTTCCCCGAGAAGAACGTAGATGTACTGTTGCCGCCGCCTCAGAGGAGTGCCAAGAAACAGAGCCTTCAGGTGACGGTCTCGTCGTTCCTCGATACCAAACCGAACATTACCACGAAGAGTGCCAACGACAGCCTGACACCTTTGGAAGGTCTGGATATAACTCTCAGCCAGTTGACGTTGACGGGGCTGAACGAGTTGGCCCAGAAGCTGAACATACCCGCTAGTCAGTTAAGCAATATGACATTAGTTCAATTAACAAACTTTTTATCGAACTTTATTAAGAGTAATAGCGCAGTGCCTGTGAGTACCAAGTCGGAGGTTGGCAACTACAACACCGATAACGATTTTCCCTCGTTTCAAGCGGATTTCGCGGCGAACTTCAACAACCTGAACAATACCAACAGCGATACCGCTTACGATAGATACGCCGTCTTCAGAGAACTGATGCAGGAGGAAATCAAGCAGACCAAGATAGACTCGGAACCTGAGGAAATACTAGAAGAAAAAGAGAAATTAGAGAATAATGTAAATAGTAACGTTAAGTTAGACTTGAAGCCTTTAAAAGAAGAACCAAGTAATAATACCGTAGACAGATATGCGGCGTTGAGGGAGATAGAGATAGAAATGAAGCAATCCGAACTCGAGAAAGACGACCACCAATACCAGAACGAGATCGAGGACATAGCCGAGGAAGAAGAGGAAGAAGAGGAGGAGGAGGAAAACACGAATGGCGAGAACACGAAGGAAATGGAGGACATTAACATGATCAACAAGGAGAACAAGTTCTCGGAGGAAAAGGAGAAGGAGATAATTTCCCCTATCAAGAGCGACTTAATAGAATACTCGAAGCCCTTGGACAACAAGGACGTTAAAGTTATAAATCCCGTAAAGTCACCTTTGAAGTCGCCCGTTCAGGTGCCGGCGGTCAAGAGTCCCGTACCCAGCGCCATCACGGAGATCGTGCAGTCAAATACGCGTTTGACGTCAGGGTCTCTGTCTGACGTAATCAGTGGCAGTTCTCCTGAGGTCGATAATACTGCGAGTAACTCGGACGTGGGGAAGAAGTTGACGGATGCCACAGGTAAACAGTTACAGTAGGGCAGTAAATATTTCTGAGATTATAAGGGTGTTTTGTTTAGAGTGGGATCCAGGTTATAGTCCAAGTATTACAGAGAAGTACTTGCAGAAATTAATATGTGAAAAAAAAAACATGACGGAATAGGAATTTAAATATTAATTTCTTTTTCTTTAAACTCTATCCAAAATTGCCAAAAAAATTCGAAAAGTTGTGCAGAAATGTTTTTCTAAAATAACTAAAAAACTGTAGACTGATTTTTTGTAAGTATCGATTGCTTTGTTACTTTTCGAGATGTATCGAAAAAAACGTTAAAAATATTCTGTTTTCTTTTCTTCTACAATTCGATATCCGTCAACTCCGAATTGCTAAACTATTTTTAACACTAACTACCCATTTTTGACACTAACTACTAAAAAACTATTGTAAACACCACAGATAACAAGTAAATACTATTGCAACGACGATTGCAAAATCCTATTTCGGTATTCGGAGCCACGTGGCTCTCCACGCGTATTGAGAATGACGCTAGAGACTACAGTTGTACAGCTATGTAGCGGTTGAATGTACTATAACTTCAATAATTTTTTTCTCGGAAACTATAAGGATTTTACAAAAATGTTTAAAATGATATTGGACTCCATTTCTCATGCCACATCTATTCCCAAATTTTTGTGGATAAGTTAAATCACCCTGTATTACCTTGCTGTTAAAAAATTTTGACGATATTAATTTTAAGGATTAACAAATGACTGAAAAAATTGCACTTTTTTTGGGTACGTTTTATTCAAATATGTAACTAACTTTATGAGAACGACTTTTATGGAAAGAAATTGCTGACATTATTTCACGAATTTATAAAATATATATTTTTCTATGACCTTTTGAAGCCGAGGTAAGTTTTTTTATTTAAAAAAAATTTTGAAGACGCATTTAACGTTTTACAGCGATCCAGTTGATGGAGGTTAATGTTGAATACTTATATTTTCAAGAAATAGAATACGTTTAACTGATTTTTAGTATTAATAATTGTAGTAATTAGTAATTAGCAAAAAAATTAAGGTATTACACGAAGAGTACTGTTATAATAAATAAATTATTAAAATGACAATAAAAAAAAATTAATTTAATAAAAATTAAATATTTGTGGGATTATTTTGCTTCTGAGGCGAAAATGGCTATGATATTCCTGTTTACCTCGTCAAGCTATCCCAGATTAAGTACAAAAGGATTTTTGTACGTGGTCCAGAAGTCGAAATATCAAAGATTTTGCAAGCGTGCACCATTTAGAATGCACATCATTAGTTTCCAAAGGGAGCAAATTCTTATGCGCCTCATTTTATTACTTTACTAATACTAAAAATCAATCAAACATATCCTATTTTTTTTTTCTTCCAAATATAAGTATTCAATATTAACCTCCATCAAGCGCATCGTAAATGCGTCTTCTAGATTTTTTTTAAATAAAAAAGTTACCTCGGCTCCAGAAGGTCGTAGAAAAACATTTTTTTTTTCAATTCATGAGAAAAATTTCAGTAATTTCTTTCTGTTAAAGTCGTTGTTACAAAGTAAATATTGAAAGTTATTTGAAAAAAAAACACCCAAAAAAGGGCAATAAAATAGTCAAAAATTTTTTACAGCATGATGACACAACTCTTTACGAAGAAAATAATCTAAAAATTGTTACTGTCGGGTCATCCTATGAGAAGATGTAGCCAATTTCCGAGAGAGACGTTTTTTCAAAAAATCAATATATCGAAAAATAAAATTAATATTTTTAAATTGTCCAAAAATATGCTTTTTTGGCTTGCCACAGGCTATACTTACAGTAAATAGGAAGTATGGGAACGTAAATGGAAATGAGTTATGGAAGAAAAAAAAAAGATTTTTAACGGTGTTTTAAATATATCTCGAAAAGTAACAAAGCAATCGATACGTATAAAAAGTCAGTCGATATATCTTTTTAAAACCAATAACTTTCTCATTTAAAACTTTTCGATTGGAGTTATAATTTTTTAGTTATTTAAAAAAATCCGTTATTTGCAATTTTATGAATTTTTTTGAATCTGTTCGCCATATGGGATCACGTTTAAAGAAGCCACTAAATTTAAAATTTAATTTCTTCAAATTTACATTAGGCCGTCACAGAATGCTTGGACTATTAAGGAAAGAGAGCTGTTGGCGCAATGAAGTGAGCCAAACATGTCTTAATGTAATGTTACTCTTTTTCAGTCTATGGCAAAGTTTAAAAAAAAATTAAAATAATGATATTGTGGAAAAATATAAGATTTTTGTCAGCTTGAAAAGGAGCAACATTTGATAGTATCCGGTTCGTTCTGTTCCTCTTCCCAATCTCAACAAAACTCCCTGAATATCTATTCTAACCCCAAATATCGCGAAAATGAAAGTGACCTTGTCATTTAGGAGAATCTTGGGCGATATTTGATCAAGCAACTGTTCCCTCAGAATCGATTAAGGAAAAACAGACCGTCCAGAGCGAGGAGGGCATCTCTCCGTGGTCTAGCGATTCTAAAGAGTTCGGGAACGGCTCGCCTCCGGACTGGAGGAGCAAGGACTCGGGCAGCGGCACGGAACAGTGGTCCAAGAGGAGGAGAGACCAAGAGGGATGGTGGGACACCTCAGCTGAACCCGAAGGTCAGTGAAAATTACGAATTTTAAATGCTCTTTTGGTATTAATTTCTGTTTGGTCTTAATAATGACGTCTTGTTTTATCCAAATTTTCTCGCAGTCCACTATTACCCGACTAACCGACGCTCGACGGACAGCTACGACGAGGAGTATTACGAATGTTACGAGAGACCCAGAAGGCGCAGGCAGGGTAACTGGCAGCACGGGGGGCAAGCCACCGGCGGCCATTCCTCCAGTTCCAGAGACGTCAGTCCTTGGGAGGAGGAACCTAGGAGAAGGGAACCTAGAGACGCGAGGGAGACGAGGGCGGGGTACAGGCATCCTAGGGGACCTTCGTTTGAGAGGCACAGGGAAAGACGCCACACCGACAGCTGGGACGAAGATGACGATTACGAGTAAGTTGTACGTGTCAACTTGTGGTCGGCGTTTCAATTACTCCGTTTAGGTATGACGAGGAACACGGCGCTCGTTTTCACTGGTCGGAGAGGCACGGGGGCCGGGAGACTGATAGAGAAAGCAGGCACAGCACGGGCAGTAGGGATCACGACGGGGATAGGTGGGGCGAAGACTGGAACGAGGATAGGAGGCATAGGCGGAGAAGAGATGCGAGGGAGAGGTGGTGCTGTCCGGATTGGGAACAAGGCGAGCACGGTGAGTTAGTTTTTTTTGTTTCGGTGTTTTAGTAAGTTCAAGATTTTCTCAAATTTCTCTTGTATGATAAAATAATATTACAATTAACAGGAATATAATAATAAAATTTAAAATAAAATGCAGAATTATGAAAAAATATGTAAAAAGTAGGTTAACGGTGTAAAAAGCGAGAAATGTGGCAAACAACAATGATAAATGCTGACAAATTAACTTTGGATTAGGTCTAAATTACATTTTAAAAAAAAAAATTTTCAAAAAAATTTTCTAAAAAACAATCGATTAAATTGGAATTTTTTTTTCAGGTTTTCTCACATTTTTACCGCAATATAAAGAAAAAATATTTTGAAAAATTTTCAAAAAAACGATCGATTAAATTGGAAAAAAAAATATTTTTTCAGGTTTTCTCACATTTTTTCCGCAATATAAAAAAAAAAAATTCGAAAAATTTTCTAAAAAACGATTAAATTGGAAAAAAAATTTTTTTCAGGTTCTCATTTTTACCGCAATATAAAAAAAAAATTTCGAAACATTTTCTAAAAAACTTGATAATCATGATTAAATTGAAAAAATATATTTTTTTTCAGGTTCTCATTTTTACTGTAATAAAAACAAAAATTCGAAAAATATTCTAAAAAACGTAATAATGATTAAATTGAAAAAAAATATTTTTTTCAGGTTTTCTCACATTTTTACCGCAATATAAAAAAAAATTTCTAAAAAACGATTTAAATGGAAAAAAAAAATTTTGAGGTTTTCTCATTTTTACCGCAAATAACGTTTATATTGATGAAAAGAAAATAAAAAATAAAAAATTTTTGAAAACGGGTATGAAAAAACTGTTTTCTAAGTGATTTAATTAGAAATTTGTCTCAAAAAAACGGTATGAATCGTCGAAATCTGGGTCAATTTTAATTTAATTAAGAGTTGATGAACAGAAGCAAGCGGAAAAGCCGAATCTTGCTGGAAACAATTGGATTTTGTTTTCTTCAATGTCCGGAAGGTTTTCTAAAAAAAACAAAAAAAAACATTTATTTTTCGAAAAAAAATTTTTTCATCAATTTTAATGTTATTTGTGGTAAATATGTGAGAAAACCTCAAAAAAATTTTGTTTTCCATTTTAATCATGATTATGAAGTGTTTCAGCTCAAAAAACGTGACCCTTTAATTTTTTTCAAAAGTTTATTGAAACGAAGAAACGGTTCGCTAGATCGAGATGAAACTTCACATGGTTCTTCTGGGTATATCGAACTGTAAAAGTCATGCTTAACAGTAGTCATTTTGTGAATATTTCAAATTTAGCCGTCAATTTTTAAAAAAACCATAAATTACACTTTTTTTCTGTTTTTTAAAATTTGTGTAAAAGATGATAAAAAATGTTTTTTTTTCGAAAAGTTGCGACAGCATGTTATAGGAAATTTATTCCAGTTTTCACAACTGCTCTTCAATTCACTGTGTGACCATTTGTCGCCGAGATATCGATGATTGAACACAAAAGGATCCTTTTCAATTAAAAGTCCGATATTTCGATGAAAAATGGTCATATCGAAATTTAGAAAAAAGGAAATTGAAGCTGAATAAACAAGCTCTCGGGTCCATGCAATGGCTTAGCTGAAAAAAATTTTTCCAAGTCTGTGGACTCAAAAAAAGATATGCAAAATTTTTTGTCATGCTATTTCTTAGAATTGCATGATAACTGTAGCTCCTAAAAAATTTCGATAGAGCTTCAAAATGCTTTATTTAATTCACAATACGACTAGCAGTCACAAAACGCTAGTTACTACAGTCATAAATAAATCAAAGCACAGTTTTTACTACTTAATCTGATAAAATAATACTATGTATTCTCTACATGAAAATTGTAATGTGTCGTTCATTTCGCATAGTGTTCCGGTAAAACATTCAACCTATGTACTCACACTTGGAATATTAAAATCCCCGTCACCCTTATTTGTACTACGAACAGTTTATTATACAGATGGCCCAATAAAGTCTCTGTGATTTTTTCCTTATTTATTGGGTATTTTGCGGTCTTGTAAAAAAAATTAAGAAATTAATAAAATAAAGCCTTGCGCCAAAGGGATCAGTCAAGGGTAATTTTTATGGAAAAAAAAACATCGTTATGTGATAAAAAGTTAACGTTTAACTAATTTAAAAGATAATATTTTATAATAACCGCGAACAATTTAACGATCAGTGGATGAGTGCCTTCTGTTTTGTATATCCTTAGATAAGGCTGCTAGATACGCTGGTAGCAGAAGGCCAAATCCGGAGTTGCCACCACCCGGAAAGTGGCGGGACCGCAAACACGACGACCGTTACTACAGCAGGGAATCACAAGAGTCTCCATGGGAAGACGAGTATTCCAACGATGCTGAAGATTCCCCACGATACTTATCTGCCAAACGGAACTGGAAGCAACGACCAAGCAGCGCTTCGGAGACGGACAGGAAAACGGGAGAGTTAAAGCCCCGCCATTACTTAGGAACAGGTATTTGTCACATTTTATTTTCCCCCTTGCTGGTAATGTTAAGCGACAATAAACTAAGAACATTTGTTGACGTTTTTGTACCAAAGTTGTATTTTTTGGAGGGGAGGGTTTTATGAAAGCGACCATTTCTGTTTCGTTTCAGGCGGAAGCGATGGCGAGCGCGACAGGCGGTACAAGTCCGCCAGACGATCCCGCAGCAGGGATTCCCAATACTCTGAGCCGTCCCACAGATTCAAGGCCGACCCGGGTCCTCCCGGCCGGCTTCCCCACAGAAGCAAGCCGCACCTTCACTCGAAACCGCCGGACGGCGATTTCGTCGAAGTACCTTCCAAGAAACTCATCGATTCCAAATTGGAGAGCAATAAAAAATCGTCTACTCTGTCCAGGAAAAAGACCAAAGACAGTCCCAAGGCGGAAGAGAACCTGGCCAGTACATTCCCTAGAAAAGCGACCGTTCGCGGAGAGTCGTTGTTCGAAAATGACTTCGTGACCTCAGAGGAGAGCCCTGTCGCAAATCCGAGGTTGGGCCCCAAGTTCAATTACGAGAACGACTTTGAGACGTCCGAAGCTGAGTCGCCGACGGTGAACAGGACCGTACGGGGTATCAGACAGCAGAGCCTGTACGAGAAGAATCCCCTACCCCTCGATCGGGATTTCAAGAGGGCGGCGTCTCTGAAAGATTCCAAGACCTCCCCGAGGTACCAGCCAAAGTCCAAGCTGCTCTTCGAGGACGACTTCTCCCCCAGCGAAAAATCGGAACAGGTACCTGAGGATAACAGCATATCAAGCATTAAAGAGGAGATCGACAAGGAAGAGGAGGATTCGTTCGGGGCGAATAACGTGGAGAACGCCGCCAACGGCCGCAAGAGGATCCTGTCGAAGAACAGGCTGGGCGGCGGTCTGCGGTCCGACATTAACTTAAAAAAGTCTGAGTCTGTAAATATTTTTGCGAGGGAGAGCGATCCCTTTGACGATGATTTCTTCTGCGGGGAGGACAAGGGCGCCGGCGTCGGGAAAACGTCTCCAAGGAACACGGAGCTCAGATGGACTGAAGATTTCGAAAACTGATCGTAAGGAAATTAGGTAATATTATATATATCTGTACGGCAGTTTGAAGGAACAGTTAATACGATAATTAATAGATGAGATTATGATTACCAGTGTTGATATTATTTTGTATATTTTTCAAGCTGCCTTTTTACGACTTTTAAATTCTAACGTTACTGTTATACATCACAGATTAGAGTTCGTACTAATTTATAATTTATGTGTAATTGAGTATATTTCAATATTTTTAAATTTCATTGTATCATATTTCGGAAATATAGTGGAACATATTTGTATGTTAAATACTTCCTTTTACTTCATTGTTGCGCCTACCTCTTTTTTTTAAATATACTTTTTTATTTAGTTGTTACCCCCGTGTTTTCTTATAAACAGGTACCGAGGCGTTATCCAGCCGTTTACGATTAAAAATGTCATGACTGCCTTTTGGACTGCCTTCTGTCGGCAGCAGCGGCAGAGTACGCACCATCTGTAGCTGGTGTGGCAAACGACACTCGAAAACCACAGACTATAAAATAATTAAGGAAACTGCATGGGAAAACTCTTTGAATTGTCAGTGTTGCGAGAAACAACTACTCCGAGAGCTATATGCCCCTACCGGCATTGAATTATACAGATATTTACGCTCCCGCATACAATTTCCTTGTCGTGACGATACGATGAAGAACAGCTGGGTCGGTTGTCGCACCTATGACACACTGATGAGGACCAATAAGTCCGAAACCGGTCTGTGCCTGGTGGGTTAAACTGACAAACGATCCTAGCTGTTGCACTAGATGTTGTGAGTATAATTCAGTGCCGGTAGGGGCATATAGCTCTCGTAGTAGTTGTTTCTCGCAACACTGACAAATTAAAAAAGATATTTTTGTCAGCTCGAAAAGGAGCAACATTTGATAATATCCGCTTCGTTCTGTTTTCACCTCAGAAATCCTCTTCCCATAGGGCACAGTTGGGAGTCTGCACGACAGATCGAGCCATTTGCGCTTCCGCGTACAATCAATTAGTGTAATCTTTAATTCTACTGTCTCATAGATGTCGCTGCACCGTAACGGCGGTAAATTTAAATGTAATAAAATACACAAGAATAAAATACAGGGTGTTAGAAGTTTGACTGCCATAATTTTAAAGACTTATAGGATACATTAAAACAAACAAAAAAATCTTACGTGACATGGGTCCTAAACTCACCCATTTTCGAGAAAAAAATTATCAAAATCTCCAACTTGGTGTACAAAAGTTGGATTAATTAAGGAATATTGACATAACTGCGTGCCTAGAATACCATCAAATACAATGTTTGTCACTTTTTTTGAACTTCTTTATGGTCAATTCTAAAGAATAATTAGCATTGTAATAAATTTAAAATTTGATAAAATTCATATCGAGCAATGTGACAAAGGCGCGGCGGATAACAAGAGGTACTAAGTGTCCAGCAATACACAATTCAGTTGGTATCTGGAATTGGACCGTGTCAGAGTGTTTTTTGCGTACCACTATTTCCTTTTCTTGAGGCGTTTTCCAGCGAGTGTGAGAAAATTGGATTCGAAGGTGTCGTGCGTGCATTGAAAGTGGTGGTGGACATTTTGAGCATATGTTGTACTTTGTTTTGTGCTTGTACGTATAAAAAAAACTAAATTTTGCTTTTTGGTAAGTACCTAAATTATTTTTAATAAGTATGATTATTTGGACGACGTGAATCTTTGGGTACTTTAATTACATATTTTTCAAATACATAATTCGATTAAAAGTTAAGTACCTGTTGTAAGAGATTCATAATTATTAAAATTCCATCTAAAATTTAAGCTCCGTACTACAAAATCGATACATTATATTTTATTTATTTAAAAACTGGAAAACAATTGTCTTGAAATTTACTAAATGTTTCACAATAATAGTTGTTTACATTTTTTCCGTAGGACAAGTCTGCCGTGTGCACACGTCGTGTGCATCAGCAGGTTAAACGCTGTTGTCACGTTCTGATGAAACTCCCCAATATTAATACTCACTGTTTTTTGAAAACTGTTAATCTTACGCCCCTGTAATATACGACTTTATTGTTCATTTATGATTACTCTATCTCATGCTGAAGTAGTGGCAGTCAAACGTCTTACACCCGGTATATTTCATAAATAATAAAACGGCTGCTAACGGTTCAAGTAGATTAACAGCTGTTTTGTGAGCCATTACATGACTTATGAATAAAACTCGGGGTTTTCATGGCTAGTCATAGGCGTGTTCGTCGTAAACAAATAGACAGGTAGGTATAAATAAAAATAAATAAATTTGAGTACTTTATCAGCAAAAGGTCGTTTTTTACTCATTGGCGCGTTCGACATTATTAGAATATTAAAACACGTATACATGAAGCAAACGCGGAGTCAATAACTGCCGTTATTACTGGTTTCGTACGGTGCACTTAGCGAAAGGCAGACGCAACAGCTATGATCATCCGACTGAGTCCCGAGCTCTACTTATAAGCCAATCAATAGAGCCTTAAATCAATGATTTTGTGACAAAAATACTAGCAGCAAACGGATTGTGCCATCATGTAAAAGTCTGTAGATATATGCTTATATGTTTCTTACTCCAATTTACCATTAATTAATAATTTATAAAATTATTAATTATTATTAAATTTTATGCAAAAAAAACGAAGAGGGAAAATATTTATATTTTTCATTTTACGAGAAAAAGACATTCTTGATTAAAATTTTTATTTGTCTTTAAAAAGCGGTTGGCACCGAGAACTTTCATCTTGCATGTACAGGGTGATCAGAAAATCGGTAAATATAGAAATCATTAAAGAATAAACTGTCTTTGTTTTTAACAATACAGAAATATGTTATTAAGGAAAGTTGCTTAGACTTGAAATTTATATTATAATTTTAATTCGTGTACGAATCGGCCTACTTTGATAGAAACGGACAGTAAAACGTTTTTATTGTTCATTTTACGAGAAAAAGGCATTCTTGATTGAAATTTTTGCTAATCTTTAGACATTTTAAAGATATTTTAAAGACGAGCAAAAATTTTAAGAACACCATTTTCTCGTAAAATGAACAAAAAAAAAACGTTTTACTGTCCGTTTCTATCAAAGTAGGCCGATTTATACACGAATTGAAATTATAATATAAATTTCAATTCTAAGCAACTTTCGTTAATAACATGTTTCTGTATTGTTAAAAACAAAGGCAGTTCATTCTTTAACGATGTTTATATTTACCGATTTCCTGATTACCCTGTACATGCAAGGAGAACGTTCTTAAAATGAAATTAAAAATATTTTCTCTCTTTTCCACTCTAACCGCGGACATACCGTATAAATTCATTGTTATGAATACGAAAATATTTAAGTGTCATAAAAATGTACAGGGAGACTTATTATTATTTTTTTGTAAAAACCATTAAAAACTGCAAATTTTAAAGAATTATTTACCTGCGTTTATGTAAAATATTATATTTCCCATTTGCTAAATTTGTACTTTTGACCACTTTGTACTGTACATTTAATAAATATTTTTGTTTAGCAGAATCTAAATAATGAACCGAAATAATTTTATTTGAAAAACCCGAAGTGTTGGGATCAAAATGACGGTGGCACCCCTTGACATGGCAATAATTTTTTCCAGTGGCCTGCCATAATTTTTTAAGAAAATGCAATCAGCATACTTTATATTTAAGCAAGTTCAATTTAATTTTTGCAAGGTTTCAACATTAAATATTTTCATAAAAAATTATACTCGGGGAAAAACACTATTTTTGACATGTCGAAGCGTAACATCCTGTATATTTCTTGTTGTCTTGGAAGAAAACATTTTTTTTTATCAATAACTATTTTAATTTCTCCTTAATATTAATTATAATTACATACATATATTAACGAAAACAATGTTTGTACAAAGCTCTTAACCATTACTAGATGTAATACTAAACTTGATAAAACCAAAACTATACAAAACAAAAAAAAAAAAAGGAAGTGTAAAAACTATAAAAATAAAATGGACATTTATCGACTGTGAGTGATCAAGTTCTCCCTAGAGAATGTACTACTACAGAATACACCGAGAAGGTACGGGTGAAATAATGTCAGGTGCCACTTCAGGGGGGCAAGTCACGACATCCTTCAAATGTCACTTTTTTTTTATATCTCAAACTTTTTTGAAGCTGAAGAGAAAACATCAAATCAATCAAAAGCAGGAAGCATATCGAGTGAAATTATTTTCACAGGGGTGCTACGAGAACGTTCTTTTTTAAATTTTCTAATCGGAATGGGATTACTAAATTTTGCATTAACAAAAATTGGTTATGACAGCCAGCCAACATACAGGGTGTTCCAATTAAATCTTCCCACCTGGAAAATAGACGGGAAGTTTTAATCGAAACTTTCCATCCAAATAAAATAGGTGGGAAGTTTTAATTGAAACTTCCCGCCTGAAAAATAGGTGGGAAGTTTTAATTGCAACTACCCACCTGGAAAATAGGAGGGAAGTTTTAATTGGAGCACCCTGTATAGCACTACATTACTCCATACTTTTGTCACTGCCATTTTGAGAGGTGAAAACTGAATTGGAGTGGAATAATCCCCGATTTGCAATAAAAAATTTATAGAAACATAAACTGCATTTTGAGCATACGTAAATAATACAAAATTGCCCTTTGAGGATGGTTTTTCCAGGAATTTTTAATTTCAATTTAAAGCACAGTAATCTGATTAAAATCGTAGCAAGTATATACAATTTTTCCCACACAATATACGCGTACTGCCAAATGTTGAAAAATTTTATAATATGGCCCAAACTCCAAAAAAGTCCCCCCATATAAAATTACCCACATTTCTAGACCTATAGCAACCCCGTTATTATAATTCATACAAAGTACTCACAATCCAATCATATTGTCTAGTGATAAGGCCCCACTTTCATTTTCTTGGGCCTCCTGGGTTGTACGGACCCCTCGGTGTCCGACGTGTCGGATTCAGTTTCATTAAAAGTGGAATCTTTGAGGTCGGCGTCCATGCCGCCAAACGACCCTGTAACTTTAGCTTTTTCTAATGTACGTACTAAAAAGGAAACGATTTTTAGCATACAGCCGCATTCATTTTGAATGGGGCAAAATTAGGTGCTTACTTTGAGCTTCGAGCAGGCTATTTTGTCTCTTCAGATCCTCGATATCCTGCTGGTGCGAGTTATTCTTTTTCCTCATAAAGAGAATATACTCGGCTGCTTTCTTCAGGATCTGCGCTCGACTCGCCTGCAATGAGAGAACTACAATTGCTCGTTTACCTGAACAAATACCAACACTTCGACGGGTTGTTAACTCGGACAAGACATACCACTTTTTCACCATTAAGGGCGGGCACAGAATCTCTTAGACTGCTGAAACTGTCCTTTATGTGATCTCGACGTTTCCTCTCCAAAGCGTTGTGGTGGGCCCTTTTTTCTGCCTGTGAAATGTCATGAATTAATTTTATGTAACACAAATTTAAGCGATTCAAAAGATAATACATTATTATACATTTGCTATGCTATATGTATGGTATTAAAAAACTATCGTCCATTAGTTTTAAACGCTAATAACATTTATTAGTAAACAGAGTAATTATAAACAGACCAAATAGAAAGTAGTACACATGTAAACAGAGTACAGTATTTTGCAAGCACTTGTCTAAATCACGTTTTCGCGTTACGCAAACTTCTTACCTGCGAATAATATTGACTTCCGGAAGTTTGTCTAGGTAAGGCCTGTCGTGAATCCGAATCGTCACCATCCTGAAGAATTTTGTTTATATATTGATCGCGAAAATATAAAACCCTCAAACACTTACGTCGCTTTCCACATCGATATCTCGATCATCATCGCTCATCTTAGGGCCTCCAAATATAGCGTACTCTAAAATCTAGTGTTTTAGAGATAAATAATCATCTACCTGCCAAAACACACTTCTTACAACAACCCACAACCACAACACCAGCAGCCACGCCACAGTCGAAAAATGTAAAGACTAACGTGATTCTCAAGCACGAGTGTACGGACATGCGTGTTTCTGACGGATACCTGTCCCGAAATCTACAGCTGTGAACAAACTATAAGCGTTGTTATCTCTTTGTTTAGTTTGTACAATTTCCGTTATCCATTTGTCGACATATCTGTACACATACCTCTGTAATTTTTAACACAAATTCACGATATTTGTTTACATGGACCAATTCTTTTCTTAGAGTTATATTCCCAGAAAATATAAAGTTATATGTCGGCGCTTATTATAAGCAAAATTAAAAATAGTCAACAGTCCTGCCAACCCAGACTACTGTCACAAAACGTCACATCACAACTTGTCAATTATGTGACACGTGTTTACATTTTTAGCACGGCACGTGATATGTTTTACTTTGGTAGGAACGATTTTTATTTTAGAAATTGTGTACATTTTGACGACATATCGATATGGTATCTTGTCGAATAGATAGATATGTTTTTATTTTGAAAAATTCTGATAATAGGTATTTATATAAGTTTAGAGGAATAACAAAAAAATTATGAAAATTTGCAAAAAATTAGTGCTCATCGCAAAACGGTACTATATGCAATATACGCAACTGGGGTTGCTGAACACGCTGGGATAATCGTTTTTTTTTGGAGTTAACGACAAATACAGTTAAATTTTTTAGGAACTGTGACTGCGCCATCTATGCAATAAGAGTTCAATTAATTTAAGAAGTGAATATGTGGCTGTTACAGTTACCTACCTCCTAAAGAATTTTTACGCAGTTTAGTGTAGTTACTGAACGACGGATGGTGGAATAAAAATTTGGAACCGTTTAGTGCAGTTTGATTGGTCAATCAACACAAGTGAGCGTTCCACTTCATTGAACACTGAACTAATAATTGATAGGAATTATTGTGTATCTATTAGCATTAAAATTTTTAAAAAATTATAGAAGCTGTAATGGTCGGTTTTTGTGCAAGTTCTTCTAAAGCGAAAAGAAACCGAAAATCTCGAAAATTTGAGGATTTAGAGAGGAACTGAATGTAGTATCAGATTTGTCAAGGCCGTTATTGTCTACCGGATTTTTTCAGAATCTTAAAACTTTTGTAGAAAATCGATGAAAATTGTTAAAAAATTAGAGTGCTCATTGAAAGGCGATTTTGAGAAAATATTGTTGTACAAGTAAAAAAATAGCGACTATGTTCCAGAAAATTTTTATTAATTTTTATGCAGTTAAGTACGCAATGGTGTATTTTATGTTGCCTAGCCAACAAAAATTAAAAATGAAAAGTGATTGCAGTAAAATTTAAGCAACCAAGTATACATAAGCATGTATTGTATATTGCCTGACGAACAAAAATGTAAATGGAAGGAAAAATTCGAAAATCTCAAGAACTGGAGGAGCTAGAGAGGAACTAGCAGTTTTGAATTGGGAAGAGCTGTTATAGTTCACCGTAATTTTTTCAGATTTTTCTGAGCTCTAAAATTATTTGAGAAAATCAGTGGATGGTAAATTTAAAAAAAATTAAAGTGCCTTTCTAGCGGCGGGTCCGTATGCTTCTGGAGTCGTTAAACATGCCGTGATGGTGGGATTTTGCACAAGTACTTCCTTCGAGAAAAAAATCGAAAACTCGTAAACCGAAGGAGCTAGAAAGGAAGTGAATGTAGGATGAATGCAATATTGGATTGGAATTCGAGACAAATAAAAATAAAAATTGAATCGAATTATTTATTTCTAAAAAAGAACCTTTTTTAAATACATTTTCACTATAATTCATAACATAGTCAACATTTTATTGACTCGGAGACACACATCACAAATACAACACACAACATATTATTTGATAAATATTTAATTAATTCTTGGCTTCTTCTCGGGGGGCGGCTTAATCTTCTCCTGTTTGATCTCAGGTTTGCTCTCCTTAATTTCAGAAGCACCGCCGTCAGTTTCGTTTTTAACAGGCGCTACCGGAGCGATTTTAGGTTGAGGCGGTGTCGGTAGAGGGAACTTTTTAATCAGTTCGCCCAGCAACATATCTACCCGCTGCCTCTGGAAAAGCGAACTGGGTTCTTCCCTCGGTTTCTCCTCTTTCTTCACCTTATCTACGCTGGGTCTCTGCGACTTAAAGTCCCACGAGTAACCCTTGCTCGGATGGTATCTCGCGAAACTGGACGCCTCTTCGAACGACGACTGGAGGTGGTGCACGGCCGACAACTGAAATAAATGCGGATAAAAGTGGGGCTAGGACAGTGTTTATAGTTTTATTTACCAGTCTGGAGTTCAAAACATTGGCCAGATCAGGCGCCTGATACACCACACCAGCTATGATGTAATAATCTGCGAGAACGGTAGCTTGTTGCGGGCTATGCCGATGTTGTTTCCTAATAACGTACAATATCGGTTCCTGGACATGAAGTAAAACGTATTCTAACCCAGTCATGTTTCTAAAAATTTTATACGATACAATCGTGGTAAAAATTAGTAAGTACCTTACTGTAGTTGATCTGGATTGAGCCTTTGCATTTTAACGATTTCATTGTTGCAAGTTCTATCGAAGAATGGATTTGAGACTTGTGAGAAGTAGTCCATAACGTTGCTCGTGTTTAATATAGGAATCCAAGTCGAATCGTGCCAAGACAGACTTAGAGGATTATCTGGGATTCCTGGGGCAGTCATTCCCAGTCTTCCCGGCAACATTTTTCCTACCTAAATTGCCTCCGTAAACAACAAATTCAAACGACAGTATAATGTTTTCAGGTTAAGTAATACGTTTTGAGGTTAGTTTCTTCGACCAGTAGTTATTTTTAATACATATGAAAATTCATCACGCGTTTCCTAAAACAAAAGATACAAAAGGCCAATTCAATAAAGGAGTATTATTTTCTGCTACTTCTGAACAATTTTTAAACATTTCATTTTAGAGGTGAGTTTCCTACCTGCTCTACTTAGATTTCTGGAAATTTTCAAGTTTCAAATCCAATTGATGTAACTTTTCAAATTACTATTTCGTTATATTAAAAAATTATATTTTTGTATACATTAAGGAAATCTTTTTGTATAATTAATATGTTTTGTTTAGATTTTGTCGAATTATAGTAATTATACAAGGCAACCATTCATACACAAAGTAGTATTTTGTGTTGCATACATTTTAACGTGTGCAATCCTTTGTGGCGGCAATTTTTGTTTTTTATTCACGAAAATAAGCAACCAAGAAATTTATTTTTATTTTATTATTTATTTGTTCGATTTATAGGCAACGAGAAACCAGAAATGTCATAATTTGAATATAGTGAATGTGATTTGTGTAGCACAAATCTCTGTCTGTATTTTATTAACACCATTTTGTTATTTTTATTTTATATTGCAACCTATGTCTCAGATTTCTGCAGCTCTTTCAGATATTTTAACATACATTACAATTCCACCTTAAAATCTTTTTTTATAGACACTTCTTGTGAACGAAAAATGATATTACGGCACTAAATATATTTTAAGCTTGCTACTACTCTCCAAAATGTAAATAAAACTCCATTTACACTTCCTTTGAGGCGGTGTGGAAATATTGCCACAAAAAGATGAAAATAAAATAATTAATAATTTTTAAAATCTTTTTCTCTCTAAATTTTGTAGATGAGCCTTTCGGTTTTACCGCTGCACAAACATCCTGAATATCTAACGGACTGCTGTCGATTGATAAACGACGAGTGGAAAAGGAGCGACACAGCACGCATGCACAGCTTACAAGCTTCTTGCGATCGCCTACCTACCTCATTAGTATTACTGGAGAATAAAACGGTAGTCGGACATCTGAAACTTACCTCGATACCCAGCATAAGGAAGGCTTGTTTCCTGGAATCGGTGGTTATAGATCGGAAATTGAGGGGAAAAGGATACGGGACTGTTTTAATGAGAAAAGCCGAGGAATACTGCAAAGACTTTCTAAGTTTAGACACTATTTATTTATCAACAAAAGGACAGGAACCTTTCTACAGTAAATTGGGCTACACCGAATGTCTACCTATATCTATATATGGAAGTTACATACCTAACAGTACAGCACCTCGACAAAAAACCGAAACCGATAAAAGTTCCGTCGTTCAAAACGCCCCACCTCCACCGCCCTTGCCGGTCACCAAAACGACGACGGCTAATAACAGTACAAAAACTTTCATGAAGAAACAAATATAGTAAACCGATTTCTGAGCTGTTCTGTGACAAATGCGAGAAGTTAACGCCATAAACAAACTTTTTGTGCATTACATACGATAGTTTTTCTACAATCGACCTGCAATGTTGTAATTATGTACAGAATTTAGTTCCATGTAAACCTGTACAGATAAAGCAAATTCATTTGAGCCATGCGGGTAGGATGCGCAGTGGCAAAGTAGTGGTGCGGGGAAGGGATCCCACTTGTGCAGAGCTTTTCGTTGATTGATTTGTGTACTTCAGGGCTCAAGTGAAATTTGTCCAGCTCTATTTGAAATTTGAGGTTGTACTATCATAGTAATTAAGCGCATTTATACTGATAACATTAAATAAATATCTTTCACTGTCAACGAATTTGTTTTCTTCCGTATTCTATTGTCGTTTGTGTGCATTCTAAAATGTGTGATAGTGATGAAGGTTGATATGTCTAATAACCTTCTTGAAACGTTGAACGTTCGGAAAAAGCTATGTTAGATTTGTCGCCAAACAAAAAAAAAAGTATAAAATTTATAATATATTTATATTACGAGTAAAAGAAATTGGAAGTGTTTTTTATGTTTCTAATGCAACAAGCATTGTAGTACGGGGTCTTCATAAATGATTACAAGCAGGCCCAGTCTGGCCAGGTCGGGTAGTCGGCAAAATCCGACTTATTTTGGAAGATAGGCCCCCCAAACGACTAACGAGGGCGCCAAAAGTATAAGAATTTTTTTTGAAAATTCTTGAGATAGCCACCGTAAATTGAAAAGAAAAAAGAAGAATGTAAAAATAAAAATTGAATCTTTTGTAGAAATGAGATTTAAAAAAACATAAAAATAACACAAATTTTATTATTTTGCCCTATACCTCTATAAACAGTGGTGTACCTACAGGAAAGAAAGAGAGAAATAAATATATATTCCAAACCGTAAGCCCTTTAAACTAATAACTTCTTTATCTATAAGCCGTAGGCCTGGAGGAAAAACGAGAGAATTCGAAATTTAAAGCTTTCTTTAAGCCAAAAAAAGATTCCGTGTGTAGTGCCTATAAGAATACAGATCCCGATAAGAGAACAGAAAAAATAATGATTATAATAATTATAATTCAAAGAAAATCGCGGTTCGAAATCTGAAATACATTGATAAAGAATTGTCGAAAAATGATAAATCTCTAATAACAGCTTGCTTTGATTTGCAGAAGGTGTTAGTAACGCCCAAGTCAGAAGTCAGCGATTTTTATTATAAAAGTAAAATTGCAACATACAACTTTAAAATTTATGATTTAGGCAGCAATCAAGGCTATTCCTATGTATGGCATGAGCAAATATCGAAGAGAGAACCGGATGAAATTGGAAGTTGTTTATGGATCTTTTTAAAAAGTGTTAAAGAAAATGGCATACGAAAGGTTATTCTTTATTCCGATAATTGCGGTGGTCAAAACGGTAATTGTTTTTTCTTGGCGATGTTTGCTTATGCATTAATGACTTTGGATATGGAAATAATACACCGTTTTCTTGAAATTGGCCACACGCAGAATGAAAATGACCGCATGCTGTGATTAAAGTTGCAAAAAAACGTCACTCTGATCAGTGGATTAGTTTAATAAAAATGGCTAAAGTTACTGCCCCACAGTACAAAGTAAAAGAAATGTCTCAAGGAGATTTTGTAACTTAAACCAATGGTAAAGAAACAAAACTGGAAAAAAGATATTACTGGCTGTAAAAACCAGTAAAATCAGAGAAATCCACTGCAATCCAGTCTCCCAATAAAGTATCTTTTATGTATAATTTTGGAGAAAATCATAAAGAACTAGATTTACAAACAAAAAACACAGGCAAACGCGAAGAAAATCAATTTCCAAAATTGTATCAAGGTGTGCTGCCAATTGATGGTAAAAAATTAAGCGGTCTTTTGGGTCTGTGTAAGGCTAACTTGATACCACCGACGTATCATGGATTTTACAACTCCCTTCGGCCCGCTAGTAAGACTGACCACCAGGAAGAAAGTAATATTGACCAAGAAGATGACTGACTCTGAATCGTAATAAATTTTCCTTTTATGTCATTACTGATATTAACAAAAATTTTTTTATCTGAAAATAGAAAATGTTTAATTTTTCTGCATCTTATTAGTGTAGCAAGTTGTTTCTCAATAAAAAACTTTGTCGACGAAAACCGTAGTAACTCATTCAAAATCCATTTTTTCTTATCCTAAACTATTTTATTTTGATCATGAATAATTAATTAGGACCTAAACAATAATTACTTTGTTAAAGAAGAACGATTTTGCTCTTGTAATAAAAAAATAACGAACATTATTATTTTCTCAACTATTCAAATATCTCAGTACAACCAAATTTGATATATGACAGTTTTCCTTGTTAGTGTCGATATGCACTCTAGTAACAGACAAAACCAAATAGGCTCTGATTTTGATTTTTCCCGACGGCCCTTGAAAGAGACAGACCGGGCCTGATTACAAGTCACGTTGACAGTAATTTTGTATGGAACAGTAACTTTATTTCCTTCACGCTGGCAATTAAATTTCAGTAAAATTCAAAATTATTATAACAAGATCAAGATTACATTAAAAGACAACATTCTGTGTCACCAGAAAAGTATAATTATCACATGCTGTTTGCGATTGACGATTTTCAGGTGCGGTTAGTAGTTAGTGTATTTTTATTAATTTTCGAGGCACAACAAATTTTTACCGAAGTTGTAAAAACACTTTTTACCAAAACTTTACAGTACAGAATAACAAAAATTAAAAGTGATAAAGCTGTCACTTTGATACGATTCACAGTGGGCGAAAACCCTGAAAATTCCGTGTGAGGTAGTAAAAGTTATCCAAATCGGGATATTTTTTTAAGTACTCGTCATTATGTCTGCTTTCTTATGCCACTGCAACAATTGTGTTTGTGTTTTAAGATCTCTACTGGCGATACCTTAAATACTCTTATAAACTACAATCAGAAATGTTTCCCAGAAATGATACAACAAAATATGAACATTTAGCGAATATAAAAAATGTAAGGTATAAATTTTAAAACCAGTTAATTGTAAACCTTTCAACAACAAATTCTTGAAATCATAAACCTAAATCCATTAAATCCAAACCCACAAAACCCTGACTTATAAAATCAAAACCCACATATTTTTTCTTTAATTGTTAGTGTTGTGAGAAACAACTATTTCGCCGGCATTGAATTGTGCAACAGCTAGGATCGTTCGTCAGTTTAACCCGCCAGGCACAGACTGGTTTCGGACTTATTAGTCCTCAACAGTGTGTCATAGGTGAGACAACTGACAAACGATCCAGCCGTTATGCGGCCGCATCCTCACGACAAGGAAATACATTGTACACGGAGCGTCAATGGCTCCTAGACCCAGTTTGGTTCCGGTTTTACGATTTATACCTTACTTTTTTTATATTCGCTAAATATTGTTCATATTTTGTGGTATCAAGTATTATAAACATTGTAGTTTAATCTTAAGTTGAGATCTTAAAATATCGCAATTGTGGCAATGACATAAGAAAGTGGAAATAATTACGAGTATTTAAAAAAAAATATCCCCGTCTAGACAACTTTTACTACCTCGCACAGAATTTTGGGCGATTTTGCCCACTGTGCGATTGTAGAAAAACTTTTTTTTTTTTAAATTCAAACCATTCAAGAAGTTTTAACTACTCATTATTTTTTATTTCGCAACCTCAAATTGATATTTAACGTACGTCTAGGTATGTTATCGTAGATAAAAGAAAAATTATTTATTATCTCTAGCATGATATTTTAAAAACAGTAAAATAATTGACATAAACAATCATAATTCATATGTCATTGGACAGTAATACATTCCGTTGGATAATTTACAACAATTTATAGTTTGTGTAATCATCACATAAGATAAAAAAAATTAAAACGAAACAAGCTCGTATGTAGGAGGGGTTTGGGGAGTGACAATATCTCTTCAACGTTTATGAAGAATAAGGCGTCGACTTTTAGTAAACAAAAACGAACAGGCTACGCTATAAAACATAAATGAATTAGAAAAACATATTTCTAAATCAATTTGTTGCGTTTTTTCAATGGGACCGCAACCTTGGAAAAATACAAGTAACGGACGTAGAAAAATTAAAATTTTGTTCTCAGTGTTTAAAATATTTATGCAGTAATCGATATTTTCAACGTAACATTCGCAAATTTAAGACTGATAGAAAAAACTTTTAATAAACGGATAGATTCTTTAAAGCTGCCCAATGCTATCAACACACAAATCCTTTGTTTAAAAACGGACGTTATTTAAAATTAGCATTAAAACCTAAATAAAAACTACTCTTATATAATTTTTGGCAAACATCTTTGATGTGGTCCCTTTATCTAAAATTCTCAAGCACGTAAGTTGTTTTATGAAAATGTGAGGAATAACGAAAACATTAACGTTTGGTGCAAACACCACAAGCTCTTCCGTAGTGTTCCGGTAGTGTCAAAGAATCGACTAAGAACCTTCCCAGGTCGTGTTTCGAAATTACCCTACCTGGAGATGCGTCATACTGGACCTCATACTCGGTACCGGGCTGATCTACAAAAAGCAATATTTTTCTAATTTTAATCATACCTACTAAAAGACACTGTTCACAGAATATCTCTCAACCCTTTCATACGTCTACAAAAAGGACAAACCCTTATAATGATATTACAAAGTGAAATGAATTACATATTACTTATTTGAGAGAACAATTTCATATAAATTACCTGTTATGTGAGGCGGAAACACAGCGATGTATTTTAGTCCAGACTCCTTCAACACATCGTATTCCCTCTGATGATCAGCGGTAACATCCCTAAACATCGGTGGTACTTTTTCCGGCTCGAAAAACAAGAATGCAGATAAGCAAACTGAGACTATCTCAACGTTCAGCTCCTTCATGGCTTTGACGATATTCTTCATTCCTTCACTTAAATCTGTCGTAGGTGTTAAAACAGTTCCCGTACCCAGGACAACTACAACTCCTGTTACCCCCCTTATAGCGTTTAACACATCTTTATACTCCAATACATTGCCCTGTACCACCTCAACGCTGTTTCTGAGATGGTCGGGCAGTTTAGACGGATCTCTCACAAAGGCTCTTACATTTAAACCTGCAAACCACCAAAGTTAGGATATTTTCGGATATTGAGCAAGTTTTGGGTACCTTTTTGAACTGCCGCTTCTACGGTACAAATGCCCGTCATTCCGGTTGATCCAAAAATTAGCACTTTGTCCATTTTGTAATACCAAATATCTGCTACTGACTTACAGAGTTAGGAAATTTTTAAAATTATAATTATTTATTTGATGGATCACAGTGACTGTCAATTTTATTATAACCTCAAAATACTTGTTTGCGTTTATGTTTGCAAATGGAAGTCATTCAAATCTGCCGCCATTCTGCGCATGCTTAAGTTTAAATTCAATTTAAATGGCGGTCATTGTCAATCTTTCAAACAGGAAATTAATTTAATTTTTTAAGTAAGTACATATTAAATAATACAGTAAAATATTATTCTCATTTTTCAAGCGAGACTAAAAAGCAGATTGAAAATTTTGTGTAATCAAATTTTTATAGATCTACAATAATGTCATGGCAAGGCTGACTTGTACAAAAAAATTGACTGCGCGTTTGTCATAGCAACAATAGTTCAGTTGTTATTGTTGTCCAAACAAGGAATATTGTTTTTTGAATTTAAAATCTCGATCAATCATTCATTAAGAAGCAAAGCTGTTTTGATACAGGAATTATCCGTTTTCTCATCAAAGTAGTTATCAAAAATGAGCAGTCTTGATAATATAATAATAAATGTGCACAAGATCACAGAAGATGGAATGGTAGTAACATCTATAAGGCACGAACTGGACCCGAATACCAAGGAACTCATCTCTAGAACTTATTTCACTCCGGAAAATGTAAGTTTTAACGATAATAACGACGATAAATTACACTTAAACTACCAGCGCTTCGAAGTCGACGAGGAAGTTATAAAATGTTTGAAACTGGAAGACGTCCAAATAGTTCAATCCCCAGATTCTTCAGAAGCAGCGCTTGATAAAAAGCCCGTTCTTAACATCCCAACAATGATCAGGTGCCAAAACTGTGAAACGAATTTCCCGACGAAATATCAGTACCAGCGACACCAGTGCGAATTTAATGCTGAGAGAGTTGTCCTCAAGGCCGACGCAGACGTCAAGGACATCGACAAGGGTGTTCGTGTTAAATATGTTTGCACTGTCTGCGACAAGCAGTTCGTCAGCAAGAACAATTTGGAACGCCACCAGGCCGGTCACGAGAATACCCAGGATAACATCTGTGAGCACTGTAATAAACAGTTCGTTAGTGAGAACAGGCTTAGAATCCACAAGGAAAATCATTGCAAGAAGTCTGGAGACATCTCGAAATTTTATAGAAGCGACGTAACCGTGTGGAAGTGCAGAAAATGCCACGAAGTGTTTTCCTCGACGGTTACAGCGAATTACCACGTAGCTATTTGCACTGAAATAATAGAATTTGACGCCGATTCCGAAGAGAACAAGGAACTGAGCTTCTTGCAGGAAGAAATAAAGAGTTTCGCCTCGCTGATCACGAACGGCGAGTCGAGCAAGGATAATTCCTCAGTCCACGTCGACGATAAGAACATCGAGAAGATCCTGACGGAGATCCTGCTCCAATGCGAGTTCTGTAACAGGACCTACGCTGAAAAAAACTTGCTCCTGATGCACCAACGGAAGCACACCACCGGGAAGAACTACGAATGCGTCAACTGCAACCTGGTGTTCGATTCCTACGCTGTCGCCGCTCAGCACTGGATGAAGAAATGCTCCGAATACGTGAGCCTCTTTTACCTGCCGAAGTTGACCTACTGTGAGTACTGCGACAGGACCTTCAAGTCCCACGAGCTGCTCTACACGCACAAAATCAAAAAGAAGCACTACACCCCTAAGCTGCACATCCCCAACACTTCCGATCATGAGAAAAAGGAGACCGATACCAAGGAGAAGGCTCTGGACAACAAGCAGATCCTCAACAAGTTGATCGAGGACGTGCTGAAGACTTTAGACGTGCCTGTGAACAAGATCAACAACGTCAGTCCGTCAACCATCAACGAGGACAGCAACAAGGAAAACGTCGAACCGGAGAAGTTGATCGATCTGAGTAAAGTGAAGACTGAGGTCCCGGAAGCCAGTTGCGGTGCAGTTTCCCAACAGGAAGCTCCGGAGAAGAAGAAGAGGGGCAGGAAGCGCAAATGGCCCAAGAATCAGTCGTTGAAGTTGAAGAAGTTCTGCGCGGAGGTCGACGACGGTTTCAAGTATCAGTGTGAACGGTGCATTAAGGTTTTCGGGACTATCGTCGACCTGGAAACGCATAGGGAGAAGGAACACGCCGCCAGTTTCACTTGCGAGGAGTGCGGACAGGTAAAACATTGTTTCTTCCAATTTAGTTTTAGGAAGTATTTATTTTTACTTAATTTTACAACGAGTAGTTACAATTTTTCAACCTGCATCCAAATTTCCAAATTTTTTATATTAAAAATGTTCTTTTATAAAATATTTGTCGTTGAGGGTACATTGTACAATAATAACATAATATAGTAATAACATTTATTCAATATAAATAACAATTTCTAATATACCTATAGTCCAGACGGTATCTATTTCAAATAGTCCATATTTGGGTGAATCATATATCCATGGAGATTTTTGGCTTTCAAATATCACTATAAATGAAAATTTTTCTATGCTCATAAAAAAAAACGTGGACTTAACTTTTGGCGGCACAATATGTTCAAAAAATTCGATAAATGTCATATTTTTCTTCCTATTTAATTATGTCTTTTCAAGAGTTGATTTTATGAGACGAAAATGGAAGAAGAAACAAATTTTTTAATATCACAGCTTCTAGAGGAAGAACAATTAGCGTATTTTCAAATGCCTATTGTTAATAATTATTGGTGTTTCAACAGTCCGATAATTATTTATCTTTGAACTTCCTTTAATTACACCACCACACAAAAAAAAGTTGTCTGAAATGTACATGCGACATATGATTTCCGATGTATTTTCGCCCACTGAACACGAATCCGGAGTCAGAATTGCTCCATCACCCTTCAATTTTCAGCAAAACGCTGAAGAATCTTCTGAAAAATGAAAATTTACTTTTTTCGCATATACATTTCAGGCAACTTTTTTTTTGTGTGGTGGTGTTATATCAACTTTATTTTTTTATTGTATCAAAGGTAAGTGCATAAACTTATATACTGTTTATCAAAGATCAAAAACAAATTTATTTAAATATTCTAAAATTGTTTAAACAACAATTATTTTCAAAATATGTCGAAAATTAGTAATATAATGAGTTAATTTCTCATTTGCTTATATTTTAAACAATAAATAATATTTGAATCACAAAAGAAATGATTAAATTAATAAATTAATTATAAAAAATCATAAACTCTTAAAACCTGCTTTAAAAAATTGATTTGATTGAATATTCACAAAGTTATTCTAATTGTTTATAAGTACAAAAATTCGACCAATGTTTAAACAAGCGCCAGAGCTCTCCTAATTGACGGATCCGAATTTTTTAAAAAGCGTTTGAAAGCTTGAAAGCCCTTCTATATGTGGTTAAATTGTCAAGTATCTAAGGGCCTTGGTTTTTGCTGTGCAAAATTTTGAAAATTTGCAATTTTTTTTTCAAAATCTGAATTGCAAAATTATTATGCAAAATCTATAGAACCGATTTTGATGAAATTTGGTGTGATGATTCTACATAACACGAAGTTTCCTTGAGCCAAGTATGAAGGTCCTATAACCAATTTAAAGACCCCAAAAAAATTCCCTAAAAAGTAATGTTTTTTAACCCCATTTTTGGCGATTTTTTCGATTTTTACAATAATAATCATGATTCATTCGATTTGTAACAAGTCATATTTTGTAAAAAAATTAATTACAAACATATTTTTCTCTTCCATTTTGGCCTAAAATAAACTCTTGAAAAGATACATAATTAAATAGGAAGAAAAATATGATATTTTTTATTTTTTTTTTTACGTATTGTGCCGCCAAAAGTTAAGCCCACGTTATTTTTTATGCGCATAGAAAAATTTTCATTTCTAGTGATATTTAAAATATAATAGATTAATGTAACGACATTACAAAAAAATTGTGAAACGTTACTGGTTAAGTTAACGGGAAATGAAATAATTCAGAATAAAATTATAAATAAATCACCCTTACCAGGACCAAATATGTAAAAACCGCTTGAAAATAAAAAAAAATGCGCCTAAACAAACTTGAAATACTTACCTACCTACTCAAATTTTTAGGACGTATCATCGTACATTAAAAGAGCACGAAAATCAACCAAAATTCTTCGAGTTGGGTTTAGAATCCCACCACAAGGACCAAAGTAGGCCAAAGGCTAAGGCCGAAAAAACGATTCTTTATACAAAAAACACCCTGTATTTTCTTCCCCACAGAAACATTTCTCTGATAACATTTATTCAGCAGCTGATTGATCAGAAACAGTATTTATTTTTGACTTGTTGTTTGTCGAAGAGATTTTTTATTTTGACTCGTGATATACAAGGTGTTATTTAAATACGTGACCAAACTTCAGGGGGTGATTCTTCGAGTAATTTTAAGTTTGGTGTCAAACTTTTTAAAAAAATTGTTTTTTTTGTTAAAATTTTAATAAAATAATAATCCTTTAGCCGATTTTGTTGAAATCTGGCACTGTTATTTATGGTAGAAAGGGGATAAATTAGACCTAACTATTTTAAAATTATTAAATCCAGTGACGTCCCCTTAATAACCAATATTTTTGACAAAAAAAATGTGCGCTACTGACATTTTAAAAACTTTTGTAATTTTATTCGCATTAAGCAACTACAAATACAAATTGAATTGAATTTTTTTCGTATCTTGTTGGAAAAAAAATAAAAATCACTTTATTGCGTGTTCATGGACAATAAATGTCTTGTCCTCTACATCTAATCATAGACCTTATAAATTATAGACGGGCCTTAGAAAGAGAGGTCAATCGCGCTGATGTGTGCAAGAGATGAAGCTAGTGCAGGCAAGTACTGGCAAAACAAAGAGTAAAAGAGTTCTTAAATTTGTGTGTGTGTGATTTAGTGTATGTGAAATATTTATGAAAACTAAATATAATGGAATTCTGTTCAGCGATCAATTGCGCAAAGAGACGTTTAAATGGAGAAAAAAATAAATTTCAAGGTAGGATAGAGGTTATGATGGTTTATGTTTATATTTTCGCATCTTTCTGAAAATAACGATCCAGTTGTTTCTGATGATAACTTATTAGATTTTATTATTATTATTCCCTCATCCTCAAAATGAGATGCCATTTTAACGTCAAAATTTTGCCTGCTTAAAATGTGTCACTCTTCGAATTATTTTTTAACATCAAACTGAATATAAATAAACAGTTTCAACTGAACTGTGCTTGTAATGTGATTCAGCAAAAATTCTCTTTTAATAATATGTTGAAGGAAGGAAGAATCGATATAGGTAATTTGAATTTATGCGAAGCAAGAAAATATGAACTTTTGAAACAACTACGTCAGAAGAGTCAGGAAAATATATCTAGAAATACGAAATTAAGTGTAGCGCGCTAGTTTTGTGAACTTCTTAGCGCGCACTTACTAGCTCTTCTCTCTCGCGCACGTCTGTGCGATTGCCGTTTATATTGGCAAAATGACAGTTGGGCTAGTCCAGTTTTTTATAAGGTTTATGCATCTACTGCACATACTTCAAAAATTTCGATATTTCAAACAGTACGTTTTGGAAAAATGAAAATGATGAAGAAAACATGAAGTTTGTTATCTCTATCGTGCTATGGCTGAACCATGTATTAGAAAAAAAAACGCATTTTAAGATAATTGACATTAAAAAATAACTGCTTATCAAAAGAACCATTCAATATATTAATCTAAATCTTTAATAGATGTTTCTCAGCATGTCACTCTATATATCTTCTAATGTACCATTGACTTCTTACAGGGGTTTGCTATACCACGGCGATCTGGGTATGTGCTTGTATGCATAAAATGTAGTATCCTAGAAGTCTTTAAAAGTCTTCTATGATACACACAACCCACCTCGAGTTTTTTATCATTTCAAAATGTAGAGTGGTGGCCTTGTTTCACTCTGGTACGAATTTATTTTTCAGGTTCTCCACAGCGCCAAAGCGCTCCTTATCCACAGTCGCGCCCACAAGAGTTTAAAACCTTACGTTTGCGAAACCTGCGGTAGGAGTTATTCCCAAACTTCCCACCTGTGGCAGCACATGCGGTTTCACCAAGGTGAGACCGGTCTTCAGTTTGTCGCTCATCACCAGAGTTTAATTTAAATTTTGATGGATCCAATAACAATCTCTTGATATTTTTAAAATTTAGGCATCAAGCCCTTCGCCTGCCCCCACGAAGGCTGCGAGGCGAGGTACACCATAAGGCCGGACTTGAAGGACCACATCCGCAAGGTGCACACCAGGGAACGGCCTTTCCGGTGCACAGTGTGCGACAAGTGTTTCCTGACGGGGTCGGTTTACTACCAGCACCGTTTGATACACACCAACGACAGGAGATACGGATGCGACGTAAGTTTTCGTGTATTTGTCGAGTTCTTTGATAACCTCGTGCAAAATGATATGACTCTTGTTCTCTTTGAGTTGGTTACAGGATTTTACGGATGACTTGTTCAAGGTCATGATTCTTTATTCCCTTTAAACATGTGTATACCGTATAAAAACGCGGTACTCCTTACTTGATTTGTATTTTAACTTCCTAAGGTCATTGATTTTGACCTTTACTGATACGACATTAACATTTTGGTGGTTTTGTGTCGAAAACCACGATATCCAATAGAGGGTTTGCTGGTTAAACCTGCTGGGTAGCATTAAAAATAAATGTATTTTTTTGGGATCTAGCTTTGCCCCAAGAGATTTTTCAGGGCCGACGCCTTGAACAACCACAGGAGGATCCACACGGACGAGAGACCCTATCCCTGTCAGGTGTGCGGGAGAGAGTTTAGGCAGAAGGGAGACCGGAACAAGCACCTGCGTACCCAACATCCCGACGCTATTATACTGTAAGATTTGAAAGAACCGGGAATTAGATCTCTTAGTAGTATTCTAGTATTGGTTTATCGATAAATTTGATAATTTGTCGAATTAGTTGCTTTTAGTTTTTAAAATACAGGGTGTTTTAGAATTTTAGACGCGTGCCGTTGTCTTGATTTTCATAGTTTTACATAATTTGTTGATAATTTGCGTAGAAACTTGCACGATTTCTACCAAAAACAGAAAATGTATAAACGTTTATCGTTTTTGTTGGATTTTCTTGTTTGCTGAACTCGGTTTGTAATTTTTCATTGTTCTATATCAGATTAATAAATTAATATTTCTCGTTATAATATGCATTTCAATGACCATTATGACAGCTGTCGTACTGGGTATTTTTATGACTTAATGATATTTTTATTATATAACTCGGTTTTTGTGTTAGGTCCGTCTAATATTTCGATGCATGTGGTCGATAGTGAACAATCTCGATTATTTTAGCAGAAAGCTATTATTATTTTAAAGCCGTCTATTGTGTCGTCAAAACAGTAAAAGAAGAATGCTGATATAGGAATCCTAACCTCAACCATATAAAATTTTTCAGTAAGGCCCATATACAGTTTATTAGTTCTTTTGACCATCTGCTAGACCCTTTCCTGTGACATTTTATATCATAACTTTTTTGAGATTAGGACATACTTTTTGATAAGCTCAATAGGACTTAAAAACAATCGAACAATAAAGGAAACCCAAGAACAAGAACTGATATGACACAGCAGGTAAATTTATTAACGTGATAAAGGTTGACGACGTTATTTGATTTGTAATACCAATGACGTCACCCAACGGCCAGATGCGTGGCGCCATCTATTGCACGTTACGAGTAATACGTGCGCCACCTACGATCACGATATCATTAACTCCAAAATTTAAAAGTACGGCGGCAATCTTTTTTTTGTAAATTCTGTAAACGCAGAAAATCGGTTTTAATAAAATCACTTCTCGAAATGTTCATTGCGTTTAATAAAAATATATTATTAACAATACAGCTCTTATCACAATACGATTATTAGCGCTAAAGGACTGTCAACACTATATTGGAGTAATTCATTTAAAAAACCATGAAACTACTAATTATTTAACATCTCTGAGCTTTCCATATAGTGTTGATAGTGAAAATCAACAAATTATTTCAACACATTGTGGTCCACATATAATGAGCATTTGCAATTTTTTTTATACGAATATTTTGCGGTAATTTAAAATTCTACACTGAGAGAACACGATCACGTAAAAATATCTTGAGAAAAATGTGTTATGTTTCATTCTAGCTCTTTCATTTTTATTATACTCATAATGTTTAATATGCAGGCACTGGTAGTGTTTATTTTTTCGATGTTATTTTTTTTTAGTTCGACTCAGTACAGAAGTACAAAACATATACACACTTTCAATTACTTTTACCTAAGAAATATTACTGCAACATCAACTTGAATTGTACAACGGTGATTTAAGTGATTTATGTGGAATTTAATTGTTCAAAACAAATTAATTTAAGTTGTTACACGTGTTACACGGAGTGTGAAGTGGATTTTTGTAACATCAATATATACATATTTATTTGGAACAAAGACTTCTAGAGGTAAGTAAACTTATTTTTTGAGATTTATAGAACACAAAAACTATAACGCAAACAACTAATAACTGAATTTTAACATCATCTATTGGCCTTTGTTGCAATAATTTACACTTCGGAAATTCAGTACTTTTATACAGGAAGTCCACAAACTTGGAAAACATTTTTTTTGGGAATAAAATTTTTTTCTAACACTCACCGCATACTACGAAAAAACATTTTCGGAATCGCTGACTCCATCGATAGCTGGGCAGTGCAATTAACTCACATTGTCATTCATTCATTTGTTACTATATCGATAGGCCATTTATGTGTGATTATTTGCATTTCTTTAAGCAAACGTAAAAACGCAGAAAAATAAATGACTTCAATTAAACGTCTCCTCAACAATTTTGCTTGAAACTCAAACAATAAGACGCACCTCTGTAATTAAAACTGCAGTAAAAGTGACGATAATCTAAAACAGCTAACAATTTTCCAATTTAGTACACAAAAACGGGACAAAAAATGGCACGGCGCGCTATCTACGGCTACACTGTTCCAGAGGTTCCCAATAAGTTTTCACAATTTATGCACTGCTTGCACTGTTTTGCAATACCAAATGTTTTGATTACACAGAAACACAAAAATGTTCGGTAGACTAAATCCCCTATAGGTCAAGATTTTTTTCTAACCTCAAAACAAAGGTTGAAATAACAAAAAAATCTGTATCTATCTTTGTCATTTCTCCAGTAGGTATTTTAAAGAGCCGAGTATAAATTTGACATCGAAATCGAATAATGGTCACTTCCTAACCTCAAAAAATTCAGGGCGATCGAGTTTTCGTATATATCGATTTGACAGAGTCCCTACAAACTGAACCTTCAAACTCTCTAACCCAAGAACCGGGCGACAGTGAATCTCACACCCGATTTTTTTGAGGTTAGAAAGTGGTCAATACTCGATCTGATCAGATCTAGTGTGTCACATTTGTACCAGCATTTTTAAAAACGTATCATAGGAGTGTCACGTCCTGATTTCCACACAATTTTAACGTATCGAATACTTTCACGCAAGTTTCAAGGTTAGATTGAAATTCTAACCTATACGTACTTGGTGATCTATTCTCATTAACTTACCACACGCTCGGTTGTTTCTTGTGAAGACAGCTACAGAGCTCTTTATTAGAAAGCACCAGTTGCTATTTCGGTACATTTTTTGAGGTTAGAAAAAGGTTCTAACGTGACGTCAAAATACATAGATGTCTGGTCTACCAAACATGATTTTTTTTTCTTCTGTGCGTGTGTTATTGAAAATGTTTGTTGGTCTTAAATTGTCTCCAAGTTTATAAACATCCTGTATTCATAAATATAAACACCTAGACAATACTAAATAAATTAAGTAATTGATAAAAAGGGGAAATAACCCCGTCATATTCGAGCACTTTGTCAGGTACAAAGCCCATAAATACAGGGTGTCCCAGAAATTTTCAGATCTATCGGATCAGTGTGATTCCTGATGGGACACCCTGTATACGAGATGATGTCGCCAGAAATGTAAGAACCACATTGTCGCTTATTTATTATGACCAAAATTTTAATTTTACTTTGAGCTACAAGTAACTGACAATTTCGACTACTTTATTAACATCTAATTTGTTTCTAGCCGCTGAAAAATAAATTAAATAAAAAACCAAAATGACCCGTAATTTTTGGTAAATACACGTCCATTGGCACATATTCCTTATGACCTAGCATTTGCCATCAAAATTTTTCAACCACCTTGTAAACTGGAATGTGAAATATTGAAATTTTTGACACAATACTGTAATAAAAATTAGACTTTTAAGGTTATGTTATGTTGTATGCGACGTGCTGCCATCTTAACCTAAATAAACCCTGAGATTAAACCGTATATTTTCGAGTACGTTAAACTTGCGTCACATCTTCGTTTTTATTGCGGCTCTTACAATCATTGTCCTCGAAAGTTACTTTCTTCAGTTTGTGAGATTTCATCAGAGCCTCGTCGACCTAAAAATAAAACTATTAGATTTAATAATATGCGTCGTTTACAAATAAAGAAAGGGCAAAAATGTATTACGGTTATGCGATATCGTCTACAGACTTTGGTACTTTAGGGGTGGCGATGGCGTTATTTTCTTTATTATGGTTTTCTTGGAAAGTGACTTTCTTCCTGGATGGTCGAAATTGGAATACCGTGTCCTATAAAAAATTGCGAAAATTAGGGACGTTGTGGGAACAGGGCGCGCAACCTTTTTTAAAACGAGGAAAATCTTTTTTTTTCCGGTTGTTTGTGAACGTACTTGAGACTGACTAACATGCGAGCTGTCATCGTAGTGGTGTTCACCGACTAACTGTATTCTCCTCATTCCCCTGAAGGACTCCATTAGGGCTTGGTTGAAGGGATCCTAGAAATTGTCGAGAATATTTATGTTAATGCAAGTGAGGAAGTGCAAAATATCAAAATATAGGTCCCTGAAATGTTAGCGCACATAAACACACTTGCAATACCATGATATCACGTCAAAGGGTCAAGGTCAATTGTACACTGTTCAGGGAAGTCTGCGTACTGAGATAGTACCTAGGGCACATTGTTTTAAGGACGATCGGGTGCTACGACAAAATGCAGCCAATTTCGTATTATCGAGATATATTATTTTTGCAATGCAAAATCAAATTCTGTGAATTATTTTCGAATTATTTGTCGATTTGTTTTTTTTTCTCTTTTTTCCAACACAGTTCAAAAACTATTCATTTTAGAGGAAAATTGAAAAGGAGAAAAAGATTCGTTGTTAAATTTTACACATTATACTATTTCAAATAAAAAAATACAACATAGTTATTACAAATATAGCAAAAAAAAAACAAAAAAAAAAATACAATATATTTGCGAATTTTTTAAAAAGTACTTATATCGTAGATAGGATCTTCATACTTAGCCAAAAAAATCTTTTTGATATAATAAAACATCACACCAATTTTCGTTAAAATCGGTCAGATAGTTTTCGAGTAATAATTTTGCAATCCAGATTTTTGAAAAAATATTGAAATTTTTGCAAATTTAACTGAGCCTAAATTAAGATCTCTAGATACTTGAAAAGGACCAGAAAAATTGAAATCCGTTAATTAGGAGAGCCGTGGTAATTGTTTAAAGATATGCGTAATTTTTGCGTATCTAGAAGTCTTAATTTAGACTCGATTAAATTTGCAAAAATTTCATTTTTTTTTACCAAAAATCTGGATTGCAAAATTATTACTCGAAAACTATTTGACCGATTTTAACGAAAATTGGTGTGATGTTTTATTATATCAAAAAGATTTTTTTGGTCAAGATGAATATAAGTATGTACTTTTAAAAAAATCTCAAAAATATTGCTATTTTTTTCACTTTTTTTTTTGTTGTTTTTGCTATATTTGCAATAATTATGTTGTACGTTTTTATTTGAAAATGGTATATCATGTGTAAAATTTAATTACGAATCTTTTTCTCCTCTTCAATTTTTCTCTAAAATGAATAGTTTTGGAACTGTGCTGAAAAAAAAGAGAAAAAAATGGAATTTTTTCCAATTCTTCACTATTTGTTTAATAATAAGTTTAGCACACGTTCTGAAGCGCGTGCATAGTGAAAAAGTAGATTACCGCACATTTCACAGAAATAAATTATCAAACATGAAATAATAAACGGGAAGGAGTAACGGCAACAGCGCAATAGAGTTACAATGACGATAGGTGGCGGGAAATTTAAATAAACGTTTCGATACACAAATTAGTCATTAGAAATTTAACGAGAAATTGTGATTTCAGATGAAATATGGTTTTTGAAATCTTTTTTTATTTATATAGTAAATCAATTCGTGATCACAGTTTGTAGATAATCTGAAATACGTAAAAGTTCTTTGCAAAAAGAGCAATGCATGTTTTGTCCCATGTACTCTAGCCGATTAATTGATGCCCTCGAATGGTATGCGGAGGTTCTGGTTCCACAATCTTCTCTTCAACAGCTTTTTTCCTGCTTTTGCTATTTTCTCGGCATACTTGTGCGCCGTTGCCAAGTTTCTGTTGCAACTGTTGGCATTTATTTACGCATATTGGGTAAAAAATAATAATTGAGAAATCCCCCGCGAAACACCCGATCTTCCTTAACAAAAATCTCAGAACGTTTTGTTCTTTAACGAAAAAAAAAAATGTACTTACATCGTATCCCAGCGAGTGGCGTCTCTTGGACGAAACGTTTACCATAATTAGATCAAAGTCCGCTATACAGAGAACTCTGAAAATCATCAGCAACGCCTGTAAGGTCCACATTATGAGTTCGGTGGACAACGAGGTGAGGCAAAGGTGGTACGACTGATACAAATTGAAAAGTCCGAATCCCGCTTCATCCGTTAGATAGTTTATTTTTTTCGTACAACTGGAATTTTGAAACCAGCACTTAGTTAGGAAAATAGAAATAATTTATTAACAAGCTGACTTTCCACAACTTGTTTTTTAATTTCAAAATTTTTTTTTCGACATTTGAAATATTCATTGTAAAACAGTAAAAACTTTTGAAAAATTTTATTTTTTTTTTCAAAATTTAGATTTTTTTTCTATATTTAATGAGTATTTAACGCGAAATTGTGAGAAAAATAACGCAAACAAAATTTGTTTCATCTTAATCATTAATTGATGTTTAAGGAACAATAAATCTGCTCCTTTAATTTTTTAAGAAACTTTAATAAACCAGGAAAATTAGCGAAAAAAAAGAGAAACTCGAAAAAATTCCTATCCGCGTGATTATTGTAAAATTGTCTAAAGGAACATAATACAAGACATCTCTCTCTCGTGATACAAAAAATTTTATTAGCTAACTTTTCTATTTAAACAAATAAGTGAGGAAAACAGTTTTTTCACTTTGCAGGGAAAACCATCAATTTTAGCGAAAAGTGAGTCGCAGACAGCTTGTAGGGAATAAAATTATCTACAAAATCGGTTAATAAACAAAAAAGTTATTGCAAAAAACAAGAAAAGTGCCCATTTTTTAATTTGTTTATAACTATCGCATTTATTGTAAAAATTTTATAAAACCTATGACAAGTTGAGGGTTTTGTCATACTTCAAAAGTGTGCTAAAAGTGGACGCTGTAGGCGCAATAGTTTTCGCATAATTCAATTTGTTTATAACGGAGGCTTTAAAAGTTATGAACTTTAAGCCTCTGTACAGGCGTTAATTTTCAACCAAACATGATTCTGAAAATGTCATTGTAATCTTAAAGACGTAATTAAGCGACCTATTAAAAAATATCACCGTTTTTTTTACATTAACATTCTCAAATTGTGCATTAAAAACAGTGCGTTTTTCGCTTATAAACAATTTGAATAAAATTGTTGCTATTTATGCCACCTCACGGAAAATAGATGCAATGGATAGCTGGCAAAAATATACAAATTTAAAAATAAAGCACCCTCTACGACCAACAGGAGCCAAGATAAAAATTTGTTTTTAAATCGTATCGCCATTGTTTATAAACATTAACACTTCAATTTTTTGCAAAATAAAGTTTACGACGTAAACTACGATTTCCCGTGAATTGCATTGAAAAATGTGGAAAATTAACGACTCACTCAAGTTCAAATTGATGCGCGCTGTAAAATTTTGCAATATCTCGGCTTCTATTCATCGTAGAAACTTTTTTTTTAAAACTGGGGTAGCTCGACGAAAAAGTAACAATGGGCATATTTACGAACCCTAGAAAAAATGCATCTTTTATACTGATTTTTTTTTAATTTACAAAAATGTCACAAAAGTTATTGTTAAACGAAATATTAATTAAAATTTCAATTTTGGAATTATTTTACAATTATTAATTAAATAAATGAAGTTATCGTTCATTTATTTATGTCTTGTATTATGTTCCTTTAGACAATTTTACAATAATCTCGCGGACATTAGCTGATGAGATATCGATGATAAAAAAAAGGTCACATCTCTCAATAGTCGACATCTCAGTGAGAAATATTCGTATAGAAAATAAAAAAAAAACAAACCGAAGCTGATGAATCAGGCTAAATGGCATTGATTAAGCCAGAAAAAAAATTCTCAGCCCATGTGCAGTTTTGAAGAAAAAAAGTAAAATTTCCTGTCAGTATGACAGACACATTGAAAGTCGAACGCTTAAATGAAATAGACCATTACAGCAGCCGTACTGGATATTTTTATTACCCCTAAGGCCGTCCACAAAGAAACTGAAATTTTGTTTAAATTCTTAGTAATCTCACGTAAATGTCGAGCTCTACTCATCGACATCGAATGAACAGAAGGACAACCATGGGCGGTTTATTAGCACTTTGTGACACACTCATTGAAACAATTATACAGGGTGTCCAAAATAACGTGTACAACGGAAGACCACAGATTCGTGCACTCAAAATAGGCACCTATATCCGAAATCGCTTCGTTGGGCCGCTAGATGGCTTCAAAGTTCGCGAAAATTTTTGAATTTTGTAAATAACTCGATTACGTATTATTCGATATTATGATTATTTTTGGGGTGTGGACTTTTGCTTTCAATCTACAAATTTCGATGTTATACAGAGTGTTTTTTAAAACTCACAATTCCTACAAAATTGATGTATGGTGTTAAAGAGATTTTGGATATGGGTGAATTAGTCTAAATTTGCCTATTTTGAGTCCACGAATCTGTGGTCTTCCGTTGTACACGTTATTCTGGGACACCCTGTATAATCTAAACCAATAATTACCTGCTTGATCCCGTGTACGTCTCAAACTCTGCGCATAATTGCTCCATTCCATTATAGAAAAAACTTACCACGATGGCGTTTATTATTATCATTAATAAACTGAACACCAAAAAGGGGTACACATATATCCATTGTTGCGGGAAGCTGTAATATAAATGCATGCCCATAGATGACAACAAACTAAAATGTTTATCTAATATATTCTTGATGAAAATGAAGCCTTAATCGGCTAGATCAAAGCGGTAGTAGTTCGCTCAATTGCCTTGTTGCAGTGAGTCTGTGTGTGGCAGCACAAGCGCACTACGGGATTTTTGACAGGTTCTTGAAATATCGCGGTTTGAACTTGCACAGGTCGTATGGGTAGTTGCTAAAGAGCAAATTACATTGCTGCGACTAGAGGGTTATGTAATTCAACAATTAGCAATTTGGCTGGGTTGAGAAAAAAATTGTTCATTGGTCAGGTCAGAAAAATATATTTTTAAATTCGTGAAAAAATGTCAGCAATTTCTTTCTATAAAAATCGTTGTCATAAAGTAAAAATTGAAAGTTATATGAAAACAACATACCCAAAAATAGGGCAATTTTTCAGTCATTTTTTGATCCTTAAAATTAATAAAATCGTCAAAATTCTTTCATAGCATGGTAACACAACACTCTTTACGAAGGAAATAAACTAAAAATCATTACTGTAGGGTCATACGCTGAGAAGATTTAGCCAATTTCCGAGAGCGCCATATTTTCAAAAAATCGATCGCAGGCTATACTTACAGTAAATAGCAAGTACGGGAACGTAAACGTAAATGAGTTACAGAAGAAGAAAAAAAAGATCTTTTTAGAAGCTACACCTTTCTCAATTAAAATTTTTCGATCGGAGCTATAGTTTTTTAGTTATTTTGAGAAAAACAGTTTTTTGCAACTTTGCGAATGTTTTTGGCCATGTTCGCCATTTTGGATCGAGTTTAAAGAATAAGAAACTCAATTTAAAATTTAATTTCCTATGCGGCCATATTTTTTTTTGTCCAGGTAATAATTCCTGCAAATTTAACATTAGGCCGTCACAGAATGCTTGGACTTTCAACTTTGAGAAGATTCATACAGCGTTTGATGAGGTGAAAAACAATATGGAGAACTACAATTGCGAACGAGAACTTCGACAGAGGATTGAGTTATGCATTGCACAAGGCGATGATCACATTGAGCAGCTTTAATAATTACACTGTCATTACGATTATATTAAAAACAACCACATTTTTTCCTCTAGTCGCAACAATGTAATTTACTGTTAAAAACGATTAGACCAGGAAAATTAGCGAAAAAAAAAGAGAAACTCGAAAAAATTCCTATCCGCGATATTATTGTAAAATTGTCTAAAGGAACATAATACAAGACATTTCTCATCTTGTGAGTCAAAAAATGCTACCCCAGTTTAAAAAAAAAGAAGTTTCTACGATGGATAGAAGCCGAGATATTGCAAAATTTTACAGTGCGCATCAATTTGAACTTTTCTCGCGCGCGCGACTCGCTTGGACGAGCTTCCCCCACCACCACACCGGACATTTCACTAAGCAAGTACCTTCTCTTTAAAGGGCTCGTGAGTCGCTAATTATCCAAATTTTTCAATGCAATTCACGGGAAATCGTAGTTTACGTCGTAAACTCCATTTTGCGAAAAATTCAAGTCTTAATGTTTATAAACAATTGCGCTACGATCAAAAGAAAAATTCTTATCTTGGCTCCTGTTGGTCGTAGAGGGTGTTTTTTTAAATTTGTACTTTTTTGCCAGCTATCCATTGAATCTATTTTCAGTGAGGTAGCATAGATAGCAACAATTTTATTCAAATTGTTTATAAGCGGAAAACGCACGTTTTTTTTATTGCACAATTTGTGAATGTTAATGACAAAAAACGGTGATATTTTTTAATAGGTCGCTTAATTACGTCTTTAAGATTACAATGACGCTTTCAGAATCATGTATGCTTGAAAATTAACGCCTGTACAGAGGCTTAAAGTTCATAACTTTTGGAGCCTCCGTTATAAGCAAATTGAATTGTGCGAAAACTATTGCACCTACAGCGCCCACTTTTGGCACACTTTTGAAGTATGACAAAACCCTCAGCTTGTCATAGGTTTTATAAAATTTTAACAATAAATGCGATAGTTATAAACAAATTAAGAAATGGGCACTTTACTTGTTTTTTGCTATAACTTTTTTGTTTATTATCCAATTTTAATTTAACAACTCTCATTTTGTAGATAATTTTAATCCCTACAAGCTATCTGTGAGTCAGTTTTCGCTAAAATTGATGGTTTTCTCTGCAAAGTGAAAAAACTGTTTTCCTCACTTATTTGTTTAAATGGAAAAGTTAGCTATTAAAATTATTTGACTCACGAGATGAGAGATGTCTTGTATTATGTTCCTTTACAATAATCTCGCGGATAGGAATTTTTTCGAGTAAAAATTTTATTTGCCTGGTGCATGTAGATGTGATCTAGCTGATTATGACTCTAAGGAAATTATAATAAATGACACATGAGAGTGCAGCTTTATAATTTTACCATAAATTCACTCACAGTTCTGAAGAGTAGCCTTTCCCACCCCTGCCACAAATCATGACGATAATTGCAGAAAAAGTTCCCAAAACCAGCGTCGCTAACGGAAAGAATAGGACCGTGTTACACACACTCTTAGATCCAAAAACGGTGTAAGCGAAATCCACCATGATCTTGGCCTTTAAAGTAGAATTTACGATCCAGTATTCGTTGTTTATGATCTCGTAACTGGGCACTTCGGTTGGGGTAACTTTAGTGGTCGTCTTCACCACTGCCTGGGTGGTGGTTAAGGCGACGGTTGTGTACTCGGTGACGGTGGTGGTCTCGTCGTCGTCTCGAAGAGATTCGTCAGTGGTCGAGGTAGATATATCGGTCTTATTTTCCATGTCTTGGACAATAGCAGGGTGGTACTGGATGTTATCCAAGCGGATAGTAGGCTTGGCGTACAGTATGCAAGTGTAGCTGAATGATTCGAAGATGTCGTTGAAGGTGACCGCCGCAACGAAGGACATCACCACTATCAGGATGAATAGGAGCGCGTGAAGAACTAGGAAAGGAATAACAGAGATGATATGGGTGTACCAGAAATTTCCCAGAATAATAGTACAAAATTTTAACTATACAGGGGCCAAATATAAGGTTTTTTTTTGTTATATAAATGTGGGGTGTTAGGGTAGCCATTGTCCAGCTACAGCGTGTCTAAAATTTAAAAAAAAATCAATTTTTAATTTGTAAACCGCTTGAGATAATTCAACCAAATTCGGTGTACATATTCAGTATGACAGTAGGTATGAAAAAAAATACCAACGTTATATATCACCCTGTATAATATTACAAATAAAATAGGTCATCATATGCGCCATTGTACTGTCTTCATTTTTTGTTTCTTTTCCAAACCCATTAACAACAAAATTGATTTATTTGATCAAGTGCATTTTTAGTTAGTACTTTAATTACTTAAACATATCTTAGGAAGGCCTTGCAAAACAATAATAATAAGAAGCCGTCATCTTATTTAATATTGTGTATTGTCCAATTAAGCTTATTTTTAAAAATATTAAGTTTTAATAATGGCTTATGCATGTTGAAATGCTGAAATGGCCAATTAGTCCAACTAAATTACACTTGGAGAAAAAAAATTGTTACCTGGACTTTTATAAGTGGAAATGGTAAAGGGGCTTATAATAAATGAAAAAAAATAAAATAAATGCGTGAGCAGGGGCGGCGCAGGGTTGATTTGAGGGGTTTACTGGCGAAATTTGACGTCAAACAAAAAAGTATTCAATACAAAAGTTGTAGATCCTGCAAAAATCTACAACTTTTGTAGAGGTCACTTTTTAACATAACCTCAAAATTTCCGAGAAAAATGCGAAAAACGAAAAAAAAATTTTGATTTTTCGTTTTTTATTTCTTATTTCCGCAAAAATAATTTAATTTTAACGAAACTTGATGAAAGTATACGTTTCTAATAATAATCACAATTTTTCTTAGATAAAAAAATCAAGAAATTTCCGAGATATTCATTTTTTTCCGGTTTGAAACACTTTTTTTTCAAAGAAAAATTCTACTTACAAAAATCATCGTATTTTTTTCGTTTCGACATATACTTTATACTTTAAATGATACCTAAAAACCATTTTAATCGATTACAATAGTAATATCATCTAATTCAGAATTAAAAATGACAAGACTTTGTCACAAAAATAGCAGCGACATATTTAAAAAATTAATCTGATGATGGCCCCTTGAAGACGAAACGTCGGATTGCAAAAATGTTGACACCATTGGATAGAGCGAAAAAAGTGGCAATGTATGCAATTTATTTTAAAATTCGTTTTCAAATAAAGCCAGAAAAAAAAATAAAACGATTTTGCAAAATTTCGGGTTTTCAGATTTCGCGTCAACAGTAAACTTTGCAGTTAATACTGTATTGCTGAACTCTCAAATCATCCAAAGATAATTTATCATATGTGCATTTGTACAAAAATAGTTTTGGGTCAAACAATGACACAGTTTCTTTTTAATTTTTTTCTGTAAAATTGAATGGTGTAATCAGTTTATGAATGTTTTTAATTTAAACAAATTATCAACAATTACTGAAAAATTCATTAAGTATTTTTTTATTTTTTTTTTGCATTTTTGAGCATGTTTTTGAACTGTGATTACAGATTTTTTTATTTCACCAACAAGTATATGTCAAAACGAAAAAAATGATTACCGGCAGAACTCTGTACGATTATTTTTCTAAGTAGAATTTTTCTTTGAAAAAAAAAGTGTTTCAAACCGGAAAAATAAATATCTCGGAGACTTGATTTTTTTATCTAAAAAAAATTATTTTTGCGGAAATGAGGAAAAAAAACGAAAAATCAGAAAAAAAACTGTTTTACGCATTTTTCTCGGAAATTTTGAGGTTATCTTAAAAAGTGACCTCTACAAAAGTTCTGTCCTAAAGCCCCACATTTATATAACAAGAGAATCCTTATTTCTGGCCACAGAATACACCCTGTATTCAATATTTAAATATATTCAAAATTATTTTTGTCTCAAAGGTTTGTTTAATTTCAAGGATATTAAACTGAAGGCAAAAATAGTTTAAGATAATGTGACTGTAAAGTGGTTATCAATTTCCTTTAAGCGAGATTATGTTTCACACATACATAATTCTTCCAATACTCTGTCCTTTATAGAAATCGACATTCTTTCAAAGGTTTCATAATATGAGTAAGTTTATCGACATTCCGATAAAAATAGGCAATAACATTAGGTAAATGCGAATTACCGATCCTATTTCAAAACATCGCAATAAAAAAATATTACCTAAATTTATTAGATTTTCTCAGCATGTGTATTGTGTATTTTACGTTTATAATTTTTATAATCGTTAAAACGAGGCTGAAATTTTGCCAAGGTAAATAATCATTTATTTATTGCGGACATTCGTTCTCCGCATGTGTTTTCCAATATTTATTGGTGTGTTCTTGCCAATCTTGCCAATACCAATTAATATTATTTTCGCGTAATGAAATTTTCATATCCACCACTATCAGGGCGTTCCGATATTCAGGATACAAAAAAGCGTTTTTCCCCAATAAGTCACTCAACGAAAACGCTTTGTCCAATTTAACTGGACTTTTTGTAAATGACTATTGGTAAAAATGCAAGAGAGTAATAATTGTGTTCCTATGGCTGTTGTTGAAGAAGCTCAAGATAAACTGCTACTGCCAGTGAAATTCAGGGAACATTACGAAAAACTGTTCGTCGAATTTAAAGAATGAAGGAAAAAAAGAAGAGTAATGACAATAAATGAAGAAGTCATGCTGGCGTATGTTTTAAATTTGAAGTAAAAATATGCAATTTCATCTATGTGGTCGAAGTATTCGATGTTGAAGGGTCTACAAAAATATAAATATTGGAAAATATAACAAGTTTACTGCTTATTTGAAGAGTGAATCGAAAGGATACAAAGCAAAAAAGGCCATCTGTAACTTGTGCAAATTCTTCACAAACTTCGGCAGATGTTATGCGTTCTGAAAATGTTGACAGCAATGCTACAAGAGTTGTTATTAACGGAAAGGAAGTTAAATGTGATAAAACAAAAAACGAAATGTCTATTACTTAATAACTAAATAAATTAAATTTGTTTTATTACAGGTTTATTATTTTTTCATTACCCTACTAGTGAAATAAAGTTACTTTATTCCAGAGGTGGATAAAGTATCACTTTAGATGGTGTGGATAAAAGTCCGATTATAAGGTGACTGTGGATAAACTACACAAGAGGAAAAAATAAGAATTTGCGTGAGTGATTATCATAAATTAGCATACATTCCTTTTCTCTGATATGAAGCTTTTATTTGTTCTAGTTACAACTGAATTATATCGCTTAAGTTATTACTTATTATTTCAATAGTTACGTATCCGATTTATTTTCAAAAAATATAAGGGAAATATAATAAAAAAACAGAGAAAGCGAGCGTGACATTAAAATCAATATGACATCACTTCAAACGTCAATGACATAACTGTCAACAAAGTTGCGGCTCGAGGTAACGCGGTTTTACCTGTTTATAAAGCATGATTATTCGCGGGAAGCCCCTCATTTCAACCACACAAAGTAAACCACTAACCTTTCCACATAGGGTTGACGTCCGAAGATCTCTTTTCCACCATCTGAAAATACCTCCTGAAGTGCACTGGCATCGCGAGTAATTGTTATCGCGTGTGCTTCGAGAGGTTTCATTAGAGGAAACTGAAAACGTTGATCGAATCAACAAAAATAAATATTACAACATTTCAGGCCAGGCAGGGATATTTGTTTATATGGCGCGGCGGTTGAGTTGCGGCACGCCCAGGCGTCGACAGCTGCAACCAGCAGAACAAATACAGTCGTCCTGGCGACTGTTTGTAGCACCGTTGCTTAGCGCTAACAAAGGACATCTTTATGAGCGGAAAATTTTCCGCCTGTTGTGATTGTATTAGAGATGGAATGCTTATCGGAAAATAAGACATGTCTGCTTTGCTCTACAGATATGTGGGTAATCAGTGGCGGCGCGTGAACATTGATTGAATGTGTTCTGCTCAAGAACATTTAAATAAAGGGGACTATGCGTGTCACAGTCTATCTCATATGTTGGGTGAAGCTAGACAAGGGGAAAGCAGAGGGCTTTATTTTCATCCAACTGATGCGCGCGATTACATCTCCAATGTCGTACATTTTGGATGGGTCAAAATAAAATATTTTATAGTATTTTTATAATAAATATATATAATATTTTTATAACTTCTTGGAATCCCAACAACTGTAACCATTTCTTTCTTGTTGCACCATCCCCAAGCATCCTAAAAACGTTCACATTTCACTTTTAGAATACTGAGGCAAATTTTCAGCGAGACATAAAAATATATTCCCAAAGGAGAACATCAAATGGTTGAATGAATGCAACTTTCAGTCGATTGCATCTTCAGTATTTTTATGTATAAGTAAACCACCACCATATTTTTGCTGTTGTATTTATTCAGTTTTTATTAAAAGGTTTTTGTCGTAGAGGAAAATGAAAATGAATGATTAAAATTTGTAATGTTGGGTATAAGGGATAACATTGAAATACCTATAAATATATTAAATATAAATAACGTCTAATAACTTATTTGTGGTGCTGCATTTTCCTTTGATTTTAATGGCCAAACGTGGTTCATATGATTGTTTTCTTACTATTTCAGCAAAAATTTTAAAAAAATACCAAGTCAGTTTTATAAAATTTTACCGTTATTCAAATAAAAGTTACCCACACGCACGACAATGGCCACAGTTGCATATACATTCCAAAGTCACCTTCAAGCACGCTTACCTGTGGAAGGATAGCTGATGTGGATGTTTATAATCCAATTTCTTACAAATTCTGCACTGTCTAACCATATTCACACCTTAAAAGTTTATCCAAAATACATGTATAAACACTAATCACGTTTCACTTACTAAAATCACAACTATTTTCTAACAAGAGACGCCATATTCTGCCAACCACGGCAGAACGAACGAGGAACACGCTACAAATTAATGCGTAGTTGCCAAGTCTTCAAACATGGCAAATATGAAAAATAGTTTAATATGTACAGAAGTTAACAATATTGTATGCATAACTTAATAATACTATCCTATAATAATAATTTTCACAATTGTGATGAAAATTGTGATAAAAATATTAAGTACATTTCCAGTATAATTATACAGCTGACAACAATGATACAATTAGACTGTGAATAGACCAGGCTTCATCGAGAAATGTAAATAAATAAGTCCCCTTTATTTAAATGTCCTTGGTTCTGCTTAGGTTTGTTACATTTGTTGAATTGAATTCCGGGATATTAAGTGCCCGGAGTCTCTAAATGGCGCCGCAGGCGAAAAATTTTAAAATTTTCAAGGTCACGCGCTTTCCTGGCAATTCTGAATTTCAAGGAACAATGCATTTATAAAAAAAAACAGATTTTCACAAGAATGATTTTTGAAATTGATACCTTTTTGAAATATCTATTCACGAATTACCTACTGACGGTATAAATAAATTGGAATAAACTAAATATATTTTATTAAATTATTGAATACTGTTTATAAACAAAAAAATCGTTTGTGAAATTTGCCAACGATTCAACGAATTTTAATTTTCCTCGCCGTGTTATGATTTTTTCTTTATCGTTTTTTATATACAGGGTGTATCTTAAGTGATGACTTTAATTTCAAGGGGTGATTCCTTGTCATATTTTAAGCAAAAAAGTGCATATGAACATCGGTCCGCAAGTGCTTCGTTACCGAGATACAGGGTGTCAAAGTTGGGAAAATAAATCGCATTTTCTTAAATATCTTTCGACTGATTCGAAATAATTTAATGAAATTTCATACACGGGGGTTTTTTGGAATGACAAATTCAAAGCTGTGGTCAATTTAGGTGTATTTTTTTGAGGGCGCCACCGGCAACGATTTCGGCCTCTTTAATCCATCGCAACTTTTTTCTGCTACCCTGTATGCCATTTTGGACTAGAATAATCGATTCTCCTACCTTATCTGATTAAAAAAGATTTTAAAGATATGTTTTTTTGTTGAATACAAAAATTCCTGTGATAACAAAATTCCGATGATATTTGGCATTAAAAGTGACAAGATACTGCCAGTTGACTATCTTTTAGTGTGCAGTTAACTATGAATAACGTTGAACAAGCTCAAATACATTTCATTTATGGGCTAGCAGATGGAAATGCTGCACAAGCCCGTCGAATTTACCAGGAACGATTTCCCAATAGACCACTTCCATCAGAAAGAACTTTCATAAGGCTCCACTGTGCGAAACTGGATCTTTAAATGCTCACGCTGAACGTATTGGTAGACCGAGAACAATAATGACACCACAACTAGAAGAAGCAATCCTACAAGAAGTGGAAGCTAATCCGTCAAGTAGTACGCGAAGATTATCTGAACAGTTTAACATAAGTCATCAAAGTGTTTGGAGGGTTTTGCACACAAATTTACTTTATCCGTACCACATTCAACGCGTGCAACCACTGTTGCCAAGAGATTTTCCTGCACGGTTAGATTATTGTCGATGGTTTCTCCAAAAAACTGCGCAGAATCCCAAGTTTACGTCTAAAATTATGTTCACAGATGAGGCAACTTTTTCACGGGATGCCGTCATAAACTTCCACAATAATCATTTTTGGAACTAGGAAAATCCCCATGTTATTGGAGAACGTGGATTTCAGCAGCAGTTTTCGGTGAATGTGTGGGCCCAAGTTATTGGTGATCATGTCATCGGACCGCATTTTCTTCCTCCTCGACTGAATGGTGAGACTTACAGACAGTTTCTAGCTGAAACATTGCCTGGTCTGTTAGAAGATGTACTACTAGCAACCAGAAATGACATGTGGTTTATGCACGACGGGGCACCTGCTCATTTCAGTCTTGATGCTCGCCAACATCTTAATGACACTTTTGCTCAGCGATGGATAGGTCGGGGAGGACCTCAGCCGTGGCCAGCATGATCTCCAGACCTAAATCCTCTGGACTATTCCTTTTGGGGACATCTGAAGTCGCTTGTTTATGCAACGTCAGTTGTAGATGAAAATGATTTAAGAAACAGAATTGTACATTCTTGTAATGTCATACGCAACACTCCAGGAATTTATGAAATTTAATCACTTTTCAGCCCTTAAAAATCCTTAAAAACTACCCTTCCATGGCCAAAAAAATAGAAAAAAAAACAGTTTTTAACACTATAAAATATTCTTTTGGTACATTCACAATATATGCATTTCTTTTGTTATTCATTAGAAAGCTTACGACTCATTACAAAGTTGCAACCCTTAAAAACCATCCCTTATAATAAAATAAACAAAAAAATATTAATGAAAGCTTGAGATGTTTTAATGGTATGAATATGTTGAATTATAAACTTTTTATATATTGCCACTTTTCAGCCACCCAAAAAACCCTTATGGAAGACCTACCCCTCAGAAAAAACCCTACCCCTTATAGAAAAATTTCCTAAAAATTATATATGAGTGATAATTAATTTTTTTAAATTTTATCCATTATTATTATTAAAATACTTACTCAAATCAGTACACAAGTCTTCCAAAATACACAAAGATGATGGTAATTTACACGCTCCGAAAATTTTACCGAAAAAAATGCGATTAATTTTTTTACCGTAACTTTTGTAATTTTAAAGTTATAAATTTACTCAAAAAACCATTTTGTAGGGAATTTAAAGCACTCTAAGTTCTGCGATTTGCAGTTTTTTTGACCCCATCGTTTAGGCGCAAATAACTCAAAAAGTATTGACTGTACAAAAAAATCTTATAGAACATTTTTTGCTTAGAATTCGTTCCTCTATCGAATCGTAAGGTTATTTTTAATAAAATAATATATCACATTGTTTTTTTTCTCTTACTTAATTTTATTGTAAATACAATTTTTAAGTTCTGATATTATTATTAATAATATATTTTTTTAATTTACGGTTATAGTAGGGCAATCGGCGAAGATCTCCATAATAAAAAGTGACGTGGAAATTTATTCCTAGTTATTATTTGAGAACGGATTTTAATAAAATATCCAAATAGTTGCGTATTATTTTTTATAAAATCTGAATGAAAATCCTACTCGTGAACATCAGTTTTTCTATAATATTGTAAATGCAACTAACGATGCATTTAGTCGGTTGACCTTAAAAATTCTAAAATTTTTGCCTGCGTCATTTTTTTTGTCTTTCTTGACCACTTAGTAAAAAAGCCACGTGTCTCACCTATTCACAATGTCACGAGCCGCCACTGGGATAGACTAACCACATCAAAACCGGTATTAAAATTATTTAAAGACTTTTTCCAATAGATGTTTATTATTTTTAATGTATGAATCAGAATGTCCAAATAGAAATTTTATAATTTCGAGTAAACACTGCCAACTTATTACGAGTAGAATTAATAGAACTAACAAGTATTAGTCTTAAAGACTAACCGTCATGACTAATTAAAAAACTAAACACGTGGAACGATGAAACAGGCGATATGTAAACAAGCGCGGAAGAAAAACAACATTTAATTAATTACCTACGCAATTCTGCGACAATTGACCGTTATAAAATCAAATAGTCGCGTGTCAGAGCGATGCACGAAGGGATGAGCGAGAACATAATTTTTTTGTTCCTTGCGTGTATCAAGCCGGTTTGAATGAAATAAAACAGAAAAGTGTTATTAGTATTAGTCCCCAAATAATAAATTATACAGCGTGTTCGCTATAATAAAACGCTTTAGCTAATAATAATAATAAGTTTTTTAAAATAGAAATTTAGTAAAATCCGCAAATATTGTTAAATAAAAAAAGAACAATTTACATATATTGGTCATATTCAACGCTTCTGACACTGTCGGTTTAAAAAAATAAAATAAAATTGTGTGAATTAGCTGAAAACTTTTAAAACCGAGCAAAAAATACGAAAATTTGCAATACAATAAATATTTCTTCATGTTATTGATAATTTAGTTTAAAATTGTTATACTAACTAGATTATTGTACTCGTATTTGGTTAAAGAAGTACATCCAGAAGGCTTCTCTGTATAAAAAAAAATTATTAAATCGTGCGCCTCAAAAAAAATCGACTGCTATCTCAATAGACCAACTGTATATACATACAATAAAGACATTTAACCATTAACATAATACGTAAAAAACAAAAGAAGCTCAAATATCTCTTGTTGAATATACTCTAAACAGAAACATATTTATAAATTATAATTGCTTCAAAATTGCAAATTCTAGTCATGTTCTAAGCTCTATAAAAATTCATTCAATTTTAAATTTACAAAAAAAATTAAATTAATATTTTATTTCAGATATAATTTTATTAATTTCAATAATTATTATTGTAATATTAATTATTTTTTTCTAAATTCTGAAGAAAGATGACATTTGCATTTGCACTTGCTCTTCCTAAAAATATATTAATACATATTTTTTTACTTATATTATAAATTTATTAATAGTATATTAAACATGTTTAGAAAAGTAAAGTTTCACTAAACGAATATCTCACTCGTACTCAAAAGCTATATGAGTTTAGTTAAACTGCCTTTCTTACGAAATTTGTTTATACTATTTTTTCCCATTTTGTGCACGTTTATATAATAACAATTAAGTTTCATTTTTGTAAGTCGAACTGATTCTAAGTTACATATTAATTATAAAAATGAGTCTTGCTACTGTAAACAATTTAGAAAATTGTGCTAAAACATATTTAATGTCGCTCGAGAACTGTCTCCGAGCTTACTTCCTTTAAAATCCAAGGAAAAATACGAAAAGATACATATATGAAATATTTTGTAATTGGAGAATGATACAAAATCATAATCAGATCTAATATAGTATCAAAAAACGCACTAAGAACTGATGAAAGTGTAATGTTAGTGTATTTTTTTGAGAAGGTACGTTATTTTTTATACATATTTTAGTGTTTTTCACCCAATTTTCTTCGATATTTTATGATTTTTCAATCCTTCGATAGTATCTGGTCCGTTTACATACACTTTGCTTTTTAAATAACACTACAAAAAGAAATCTAGTGGGATTAAGTCAGGGGAACGTGGTGGCCATTCAAACGGTCCACTTCTGTCTATTCATCGATTTGGGAAAACTTCATTAAGGTAATTTCTTACATCGAGGAGAAAATGTGGAGGGGCTCTTCGAATTTTGGAAAAAACATGACCTCGAAGAAGTTGTAATTAACTTTCAACTACTAACACTTGGAGCAAAAATATTTGACAGAGTTATAGGCAAATGTTAGGCAAATACTCCTATATTAGCTAATATCGATATTTTATACAGGACATTTTTTATAATACGATCATTTTTAGAAAGTTTAAACTTGATTTTCTAAAATTTTTCAAATGGAAACCCTGTATTTTATTATTCTATTTTATTCACATCGGTCCACTTCAACTTTTATTAAGCATGTTCTATATCTAAAATTGTTAGTTTTTAAGATATACAAACATATCTGAAAAAACTTAATTTTTATTATTTTATAGAATACCTCAAATAAATATTAACTAATAAAATTAACTCAAAATGGAATGATAAATTATGAACTGACAAGTTGACACAATGTGAGAGTTTTTTCCAAAGCTAGTTCGCTATTTTCCAGAAATGTTACTATATCTTAAAAACTAACAACTTTAGGTCTGATATGTGAATAAAATAGAACAATAAAATACAGGGTGTTCCATTTGAAAAATTTTGGAAAATCAAGTTTGAACCTTCTTAAAATGATCGTATTATAAAAATGCCCTGTATAAAATATCGATATTAGCTAATATAGGAGTCTTTGCCTAACATTTGCCTATAACTCTGTCTAATTATTTTGTTCCAAGTGTTAGTAGTTGAAAGTTAATACAACTTCTTTGAGGTCATGTTTTTTCCAAAATTCGAAGAATTTTCAACATAACTTGGCAACCCCGCACTAAAATGATAAACTGTTTATATTGCCATATATAGAATTTTCTTGGAAATCCATGTTTAAAAATATATAGGGTGTTCCATTTAAAAAATGTAATATTTGGCGTGTTCCGTTTTTACTCGTCGCCCTGTGTGTTTCAAATTAATTTCGTCCTTTATGTTTTTGATTCTTAGTCCAGAAAATATAGTTTCCACAGTCAAAAAAATGTGGGGAAGATTGTTTACAGGGTGGTTAATTGTATAATTTTTACGTAAATTCACGTTTTTCGCTTATAATTTTTTTCCGTTCATTTCCACGAGAAAACAAGTACTTTTTTTTTCATCTTCAAAAGATCTATAAAACTAGCCCTCGAGCGTCAAAAAATATTGATTAGATCAAAAGTTATAAACAGAAGAAGTTTATTTATGACTTTTGAATTAAACATTTATAAACTGCGTTATTATTACCATATCGTTTTGGCATCGCATCCTCTCTTATCCCTAATTTTTTTCATGGTAGATTTCATAAAAATACATTGAAATCTATCATTTTTTTTATTTCAAATTTGCCACTAAGGCTATAAAATAAAAAAAATCCAGGTTGCAAATTTGAAATTAAAAAAAAAATGACAGATTTCAACGTATTATTATGAAATCTACCTTGAAAAAAATCAGTGCGATTGTGGAAGATGCTCGGGATCGTCCAGACTAATAATTAGTTAATTTGTTTATAAGGCCATAACTTGTAAACTATTCAACTTACCGAGGTGATAAGGTATGAGAGGATGCGATGCCAAAACGTTCTGGTAATAATAACGCAGTTTATAAATGTTTAAAAGTCATAAATAAATTTCTTCTGTTTATAACTTTTGATCTAATCAATATTTTTTGACGCACGAGGGCTAGTTTTGTAGGTCTTTTGAAGATGAAAAAAAAAGTACTTTGCTGTTTTCTCGTGGAAATAAACGGAAAAAAGTTATAAGCGAAAAACGTGAATTTACGTAAAAATTATACAATTAACCAACCTGTAAACAATCTTCCCCCCATTTTGATGACTGTGGAAACTAATATGTTATTGTACATACATACTATTTAGCATCTATAGTGATAAATTCAGCTTGCCGAAACAAAAAGTCGCGAATTGATGATTTCCCAACTTATTTATCTGGACTATCTGTACAACTGTTATATAAACTTTTTTCTGTATTTGAATAACAGATTCTTGTAAAGCCGGCTCGAAAAAAGGGGGTGGGTGGGTGATGGGTGGACAAAATTTACTGAAGAGACAGAAAAGCTTAGTTAAATCCGCTTTGACCGCAGAACACGGAACATTGGGACACCACACCACGTATATGCCAACCTAGAGCAACACTTACACGACCTGCCGTGCCTCCGCCCCATATCTCACCCATCAGAAGTGCGTGTCCGCCCGCAGTGTAACCGGGAGGCGACGTATGTCCCTATTACATATTTATGCGACTCTTGGCGGCGTTCCACCGTCGTCCTTTCAAGGACCTCGTCCTTACGCAAGCGTCTGCCGCCACAGGACGACCCATGCGCCGCCGACCGCCGAACTTGTTGTCAGTTGGCGGAGACCAGTACATCCACGAGCCGCAGAGAATCACCGACAGCGCGACATCCGCAATCCGAACTTGTAAACATTTGTAGTTTTTTATGTTGACGCCTTTGTTTTCATGTTTCGATGTTAGCTGAGCCCGTGGAGTAGCGGAAAAAATGTGCGAAAAACGAACTGAAGAACTGGACTGATTGTGGGAACAGCTGTAAGAGACCCAGGGGCGAACATGGTTATGGTATCAGAACACGGCTACATCGGTGGTAAGTCAACTGCAGTTACACTTAATATTTGCTACACTTTCGAGTACTCGAAAGTCCTGCGAATTTTTTTGGGATGGGGTGGTAGTGTAAATGTAAGTAAACAATTGATTTTCCGTGTTCGCTGCGTATTTTGTGCAGTTAGTTGTGACCCAGATTCGAGAAACGCCGAAACGAAATAGGTTAATGATGGGAAGGAAACGTTATGACTGCAGTGATCGAGGGGGAAAAGTGAAACGGGTTTCAGGACGCGGGGGCGTCTATTTACCTCGTGGGAAACGGTTTCCCAGTCTGGAGAGTTGTATTCATTTGAGAGGATTCAATCACGCTCTATTGTTCGGTCGAGTTTTTTCCCTTCAATCCTTTCATTACTAGATTTCAGGAATTCGGGACTTCCTTCTTGTAATAATCTCTATTTTATATAAAAATCCGATTCATTGTTTGTTAAGTCATTGATATCTTTAAACTTCTCAAAATTGTGCTGAATACTCGAAACAATTTTATTTTCAGGATCTATACAGGATGATTCACAAACGGTGACCAAAAATGAGTTAGTTTTTAAGTTTAAGTACTCGAAAATCAGGCTATATTCGAAAAACATGAGAGAATAGTAATTTAAATAATAGTAGAAAATAAAAATAAAATAGTAAAGCTGTGGCGTACTATTTTATTTAGATATGCCACCGATACCCTGCATCTCCACCACTGGAGCATCTTGATTTTAGGAAAATGCCTTAGATTTTGGACAATGTTTACATAAATGCATGTGCCCCATTTCAAATTATTTTTTTTTACGAGTTTTTAAATTATTTAAAAATAATTAAAAACATTTTCTCAAGTTTAACTAACACCCTGTATGTTTTTAAAGAAAAACTTTATACGAAAGACCCCTTAAAATTCACCAAAGAAGACGAGGTTTCATTTTTGGTCACTGTTTGTGAATCACCCTGTATTTATAGAAAGTATGAGGTATACAGGCTGTTAAAAATTCGGTTCTCACTACAAGGATCTCGGAAACGGTAAGAGAAGCTTAAATGGGGGCAAAGTTGCGTAATCAGGGAACCAACATAATGCCCCTAAAAAATCAAGGCTAACATGATTAGTTTTCGAAATATTTGAAAAAACCTGAAATTTTGGAAATCCGTTTTTGTTTCATTTCAGCCTTGTTTGAGGTGATATTGAAAAAAGAAGAACACTTCTCATGCCACTTTTTGCCCCCTGTCGAAAGGTATTTCTAAGATCATATTTAAAAAAATGAAGTTGATGATGGTCGTGGAGAGACGAAACGTTATATATAAAAATAGATTATGCCATTCGATAACAGAAAATTTGTAACCAAAAGAAAGTATGAGTACTTGAGAATTAGAACAGAAAATAGCAAAAGCAGGAAAAAAGTTGTTGAAGAGAAGATTGTGGAGCCAGAACCTCCGCACACCGTTTGAGGGCATCAACTAATCCACATAATACATGGCAAAAAGTTATTTATTAAGTTAAAATATTAAGTTAAATATTCAAATTTTTTCACGCGATCCTCCTTAAAATTTGGGTTAAAATTACTGAATAATTTAACTTTAATTCGCTCTTGAAACCAGCTATAATGTTTTCAACTAGAATTCGTCACAGTAGCCAGATTTAATGAATATGAATAAGACTGAAAGATTGATGTCTTATTTTAATAATTTTCTCGACACATGACTTGGCAAATCTGCGATTTGTTGGCCCCCATGCATAAATGTTTATTTACATCGCGAATTATACTCACAGTTCAAATATACATATATTCATCCTGTATATGTGTTGTTCCCTATAACAAATACTGTTTTATCTAGAACTTTATACAAATGTATACACAACCTATTAAAGCGGTTAATTAGAAATCTGGGTCTAGGTCACTTTGATCTATAAAGGGTCCAAAAATATCGGACCCTTCGCATGCTAGCTACGTTCTTCCAGCTCTTGGTAGAAAATTGAATAAATAATGCACAGAAACCAATTTTTCGTAAATTTCTTGGACTTTTACAAAAAAAATGACATGTACGAAATCAGACTTGACTTAAAAATGAAGTCAATAAATAAATTCACCATCAATTTATTGAATTCATGTTTGTAGAATTTTCCAATCTAAATATGAAGCGACGACCGTCAGCGCGAGGCCTCGAATAATGTATTCCCAGTCTGTTCTATTAGAATTCAATTTGAGGTAACGACTTTTATATCATTTTTATGAAAAGATAAGTAAGTTCATGGTTTGCAATAATGGATTTTCCTTGTATTGCTGCAGTACGGCATTTGGGCTAATAACGTTTGTTGTGTCGTTCATTTCTTAGTAGTCCATCCGGGATGTTCCTTCATTGTTACATTCTTCTTCTTCCTCTAATATTTCTCTCCGATGTCCGGGACCTAAAACTTATGAATTTCGTTTTCGTAGAAAACTTTCTTTCTACTTCATGTGTTGTTCTCAGATTCGTTATTTTCATTAACGTTATTAATTTTTTTTTAAATAGTTTTTACATCAATCTACGTGAAATAATGAGGTTTCAGGTCTGGATGGTATGATGGCAGTCTCAGAATAGCATCGTCAGTTTTCTGAAAAACTTGATCGACTTCGTATATTTTAAATGTTGGCTCATGCATTTGTATAATATTATACAGGGTTGGGCAAATGTGTTGGAACATCTTTGTACCAGGTGAACCACAAGTTTGATTAAAAAATACCCTTAACAAAAGTTTTTATAGTATTTTTATTCTTTTCAATGATGTATTATAATTTCCAACATCTACTTTATTTCTAGAGATATGGCGTTGTCGGCAGTTTTTTTAAATGGACCGCCCTGTTTATTTTTTATATTTTTAGAAAGGCAGATTTTGACCGATTAAAATGATATGTGGTTTGGTGGGTCTGCGATTTATTGTTTTTTCGTATCGTATGGGAGATCTCTGAGCAAATGACCCTGATAAAGACCGCCACTGCTTGGTATACACTTACTTTATTCTTCCGCATTTTTTACACACGTTAATAGCCGTCGCGGGCCAGATTCTGGCCTCGGCATAAGCTCCATCAACGGAGGGGAAAAGACAGTTTAAATAAATAGGATACGGCCCCTGGTGGCTGATATTGTACCTACGCTACGTCCCGGGGAATCAAACGAACTCGATTCCTTCAGCGTCTGCAAAGGGTTCCTTTCTTGTCCGCCATTTCCCTTTATGTTTGTTTATACAAAATATTTAGACCCCAGGGTTACACCCTTGATCCTTTTTCAGCCTGCCAACAGAAGCTGCTCCCTAATTGAGTTTTGACCTGCTGTGAGACTATCAAAGAGAACGCTTATTACTTTGCTGAAATTTAATGTAGTTGTTTGAGGAGGTCGCGTAATAACCGTTTTGTGATATTCGCATAGGTCGGAATTGGAAATGAAAAACGTTAATACGTTTAAGAGTTTTACGGATTGGGCCCTTTGACGCGATAAAAATCCGTTTGATAAAAAATTACCACGGTTAAGGAAAATGCGGGAAAACATTTATTGGAGAGAGGTGGACGGGCAGGGTCAAGAATCTTGATTCCAAAGCACATTTGTTTTATATTTGAAGCTGCGTAACAAATAATAATTAATAAAAATCTATTGAATTCAGATCAGGACTTATAAGAGACCAGGAATGCAACACAAATGAACATACGGTAGTAGTTATCAGTTTAGTTTGTAATGTGGTCAGTTGGTAACTACAGAACTTTCATAATTGATTACGCCCTGTATAATATTACAAATAAAATAGTACGTCATATGCGCCATTGTATTGTCTTCACTTTTTGCTTCTTTACACTTTTTTGTATTCCAAACCGATTAACAACAAAATTGATTTATTTGATCAAGTGCATTTTTACGATACTACAATACCTACTTAAAATAATGACGAAATAATTAATTAACAATGGAATTACTTTACTATGATTTATTATAACAAATGTTGGAAATGGCCAGTCAGTATATGCATAAGCCATTATTAAAACTTAATCTTAAAAAAAAATAAGCTTAATTTGACAATATACAAAATTAAATAAGATGACGGCTTCTTTTTATTATTGTTTTGCATGGCAGATATGTTTAATTGTAAGTAATTTATACTCGGCGGCCGAAATTATAAAGAGTGACTAATACATAATATAAAAACACTATTACCATAATGCGTATAAAATATAAAATGATTTCTATACGGTTCAATATTATTTATCTTTGTGCCGCTCGCCATGCACATCGGTAGAATCTATAATCGTGTATAGACTGAGTTACACTGAACGTCGATCTATATTTTATCTCTGTCTTTTGCACTTGGTAGGGAATANCGATAAAAATATTAAGTACATTTCCAGTATAATTATACAGCTGACAACAATGATACAATTAGACTGTGAATAGACCAGGCTTCATCGAGAAATGTAAATAAATAAGTCCCCTTTATTTAAATGTCCTTGGTTCTGCTTAGGTTTGTTACATTTGTTGAATTGAATTCCGGGATATTAAGTGCCCGGAGTCTCTAAATGGCGCCGCAGGCGAAAAATTTTAAAATTTTCAAGGTCACGCGCTTTCCTGGCAATTCTGAATTTCAAGGAACAATGCATTTATAAAAAAAAACAGATTTTCACAAGAATGATTTTTGAAATTGATACCTTTTTGAAATATCTATTCACGAATTACCTACTGACGGTATAAATAAATTGGAATAAACTAAATATATTTTATTAAATTATTGAATACTGTTTATAAACAAAAAAATCGTTTGTGAAATTTGCCAACGATTCAACGAATTTTAATTTTCCTCGCCGTGTTATGATTTTTTCTTTATCGTTTTTTATATACAGGGTGTATCTTAAGTGATGACTTTAATTTCAAGGGGTGATTCCTTGTCATATTTTAAGCAAAAAAGTGCATATGAACATCGGTCCGCAAGTGCTTCGTTACCGAGATACAGGGTGTCAAAGTTGGGAAAATAAATCGCATTTTCTTAAA